CTCGAGTTGGTGCCAAAACGGATAAGTCTGTATTGCCAGTGTGCAATTTTGCTATGTTTCATTGACTCATAAAGCCTACAAGATGTTTCAAAATAAACATAAAAATACAGTTGAAATTCCTATATGCGTTTCATTTTTGGGGGAGAGTATATATTCTCGATGTCCAATGTTTGAAAAGCTTCCATTTTATTTTAAAGGAATCGTTAGCAAAGCCATATCCAAAATGTCACATGTGTGGGTAATGTGGTTAACCAGATATTTGTCATCACAACACATTCGGGTATAATATTTCTTACAAAATTGCAGAAAATGAAAAACGATTATATTTTTGGGTACCTCTTGGATAACGGTATGCCCTCAGATAATGTCATATGAAATATGTTCAGTATAGTATTGGATGACTTCCCGTCATGATCAACAGTCAAAGATTTGGATTGCCTGATTTATGTTTAGTCGGGGGCTATTTTTTAAGGACACCCCTATTTTAATCTTTCAAAAACATTGTGTCCAGATATTCAGGCTGGCACAGTTTACAATATATTGTGGGCTGACACTTGTGTGACCATTCAGTATTTAGTTTGAACCCTTGGCATCATGTATGCATAAGTGAAAACATTAGAATAAGCTATGCCCTTATGATTACGTCATCTGAAAGGGGATGGTTAGTGTCCCCAAAACAAGCTCTTTCAGTCAACATGAAGGGGGGAGTCACTTTAACAAGTGATTGTAATTTCAAATTGCATTTTTATGAACTTTAATATCTAAGTGTGATTCTAGGGGAATTCTATCAATCTCAAACACACAAAATATTTCTTGCACATTTTGTTTCCTGAAGTTTTTTATGCATTTATTGTAGATTGTGCGTTTTTGAGCGTACCACGATAAAAGGTCAAACAAAATGGGGATCGTGAGACTGGAACATAGCAAAACCAAATTGCTTGAGCTTGACAGATAATATGTAGGAAAATAAAACATAAAAATAACTGCATTTGAATCGTTTTCTTGGTGATTCTACATACTTTTTGATCGCCCCTCGTATGTCAGTGATTCATTCAGATTCAACTCCAATATAAACATGTATTAACATGAGCTATTGCAAAATGAAACAAAAACATGATTTAGGTGAACTGCTTGAGCTTAAAAACTCATGTATCCCTCAATGCTAAGGTCCTTGACTAGAAAGTCCTACAAAAGTTATAAGACTTTATGATAACTTGATAACATATGTCCCATTATGAAACAAACAAAAATGATACAATATTTTGAATTGTGAAATGGTCCCTCAGAGCCAGTGGCTCTACTAATAAGGCCAAATAAAACATTGGCCCATTTGAGACCACTTGATTCCTCTAAACTGTCACATATGAAACCATACAAACCCCCCAAAACTTGGTGGGAACATGAAGTTAGAAACGGATTCGGGATTGGGGATTGGGGATTCGAATCCCGAATCTAAATATTTTTTCCATATTCGGGATTCGAATTCCGAATCTGAATTTTTTTCAGATTCGGTATTTTTGCACATTCGACACTCGGCATTCCGTATTTGAACTCTTATATTTCACCCCCCTTCTAAAGTACTAGGTGCTCGTTGTATACCGGGGTAACTACGGTTTCCGATATTTTAACCTCCAATCTGAGTTTTCTCAACATTCGGGTTTCGGGATTTGAATCCCTAATCTGAATATTTTTTCAGATTCGGGATTCGAATCCCGAAACCCGAATGTTGAGAAAACTGTTAAAATATCGGAAACTGTAGTTTGGTTGTTTATGATTTTAAGTTACCCAGGTACACAACGAGCACCTAGTACATTAAGAAGGGGGATTAAATATAAGAGTTCAAATACCGAATGCCGAGTGTCGAATGTGCAAAAATACCGAATCTGTAAAAAGAATTAAGATTCGGGATTCGAATCCCGAAGATGGAAAAATATTCAGATTGGGGATTCGAATCCCGAATCTGAAAAATATATTCAGATTCGGGATTCAAATCCCAAAACCCGAATGTTGAGAAAACTCAGATTTGAGGTTGAAATATTGGAAACTATAGTTTGGTTGTTTATGTTTTCAAGTTACCCAGGTATACAACGAGCGCCTAGTACATTAGAAGGGGGGTGAAATATAAGAGTTCAAATACCGAATGCCGAGTGTCGATTGTGCAAAAATATCGAATCTGAAAAAAATTCAGATTCGGGATTCGAATCCCGAATATGGAAAAAATATTCAGATTTGGGATTCGAATCGCGAGATACTGTGCCGGTATATACCGGTCTACATATGTATATGTCAGTTGTTTTCTCGATATGTCAGTTGTTTACTCTATATGTCAGTTGTTTACTCGATATGTCAGTTGTTTACTCTATATGTCAGTTGTTTACTCTATATGTCAGTTGTTTACTCGATATGTCAGTTGTTTACTCTATGTGTCAGTTGTTTACTCTATGTGTCAATTGTTTACTCGATATGTCAGTTGTTTACTCTATGTGTCAGTTGTTTACTCTATGTGTCAGTTGTTTACTCGATATGTCAGTTGTTTACTCGATATGTCAGTTGTTTACTCTATGTGTCAGTTGTTTACTCGATATGGCAGTTGTTTACTCTATATGTCAGTTGTTTACTATATGTGTCAGTTGTTCACTCGATATGTCAGTTGTTTACTCGATATGTCAGTTGTTTACTCTATGTGTCAGTTGTTTACTCGATATGGCAGTTGTTTACTCTATATGTCAGTTGTTTACTCTATGTGTCAGTTGTTTACTCTATACGTCAGTTGTTTACTCGATTTGCTATGTCAGTTGTCTACTCTATATGTCAGTTGTTTACTCGATTTGCTATATGTCAGTTGTTTACTCTATATGTCAGTTGTTTACTCGATATGTCAGTTGTTTACTCTATATGTGTGTTGTTTACTCTATATGTGTGTTGTTTACTCTATATGTCAGTTGTTTGCTCGATATGTCAGTTGTTTACTCTTTATGTCAGTTGTTTACTCTATGTGTCAGTTGTTTACTCGATATGTCAGTTGTTTACTCGATATGTCAGTTGTTTACTCGATATGTCAGTTGTTTACTTTACTACTCTATATGTCAGTTGTTTACTCGATATGTCAGTTGTTTACTCGATATGTCAGTTGTTTACTCGATGTGTCAGTTGTTTACTCGATATGTCAGTTGTTTTCTCGATATGTCAGTTGTTTACTCTATGTGTCAGTTGTTTACTCGATGTGCCAGTTGTTTACTCGATATGTCAGTTGTTTACTCGATATGTCAGTTGTTTACTCGATATGTCAGTTGTTTACTCTATGTGTCAGTTGTTTACTCTTTATGTCAGTTGTTTACTCGATATGTCAGTTGTTTACTCTATGTGTCAGTTGTTTACTCTATGTGTCAGTTGTTTACGATATGGCTATATGTCAGTTGTTTACTCTATGTGTCAGTTGTTTACTCTATATGTCAGTTGTTTACTCTATGTGTCAGTTGTTTACTCTATGTGTCAGTTGTTTACTCGATATGTCAGTTGTTTACTCAATATGTCAGTTGTTTACTATATGTGTCAGTTGTTTACTCGATATGTCAGTTGTTTACTCGATTTGCTATATGTCAGTTGTCTACTCCATATGTCAGTTGTTTACTCTCTATGTCAGTTGTTTACTCGATTTGCTATATGTCAGTTGTTTACTCTATATGTCAGTTGTTTACTCTATATGTCTGTTGTTTACTCTATATGGCAGTTGTTTACTCTATATGTCAGTTGTTTACTCCATATGGCAGTTGTTTATGTATTCATGTAGTACATTAGTCAACAAGGGTTTCAAAAACACTCAGACTATTGTAGTTTCTGTAATGTTTTATTTCCTGATTAATGATGAAGTACAATACGTAAAATAATGCCGCATAAAATAATATCTCCCATCTGCTGAAGCATATGTATCCTCAGTATGACATGTGGCGAAGGTCTTTTCACAGCACAATAAGTTAATCTCAAACCCGTAAATGGACAGGTTCATCCAGTTTTTGGAACACTCGGGCTCACATTTTTAAGCTCGTACATGAAGGAAATTTAGTTACAAATATACGGCACTTGCTGACCACACCTAGCTTTTATCTTTCATTTATACTCTCATCTATTTTTACAAAGCAAACACTTATGTGGACAAAAAAGGTATAATAGATACAGTATTTATATCACAATAATAATTGCATTCAGTTAATACTGTCATACATCGTTCAGCTTGTATTTATTACTCACCCAACATAAGCAAATAATATATGTCAGATTTTAACTTACTGAACGAGTGCATTACGCCGTCATAACAGGGGTCACGCGTATGAATACATTTCATTTATGATTATCAACATTAGTTTATTTACCTTGATTGTTTAAAAATAAACAAGGGGGTATGAAAAAGGACCAAATACCTTCAACCAACATATTATTTTTTATATAAATGCTATTACACACAACCGAGTAAAGAACACTTGAATATCGTGACATCGAGACATTTTGTTGTTTTTGTGTTCACGTTACTTTTGTCATGTGCAAATAGGCCCGTTATTACACAATAAATGAGTTTTAATAAATCTACTATGTTATATTACACAATGCAGTGAGTAATAAATTCCATTATCAAACACATAATCGTGAAAGCTATCAACTATAGTCTGTTTGCGGTGAATACGTACCGATGAATTTCACTTTAAACAAAAAAGTAAATCAAATAAAGTGAAATTAAGATTGCGAATCCTCATAATTATACCTTGCCATTTGAAAATTTAAATCTCAGAATTTTATTCAACTTGGGATGAAAGTTGTTTAACAAACGACCATAGTTTCAAATCGGTATTATTGGTTTGTATTACAAGGGGGTATGCACATAAAATGAAACACCGCGATCAAGTAGGGTTGGTCTAAGTTAACGCTCATCACGTACCGCACGTGCATTTGTTTCACTGTTCCAACTACTGCGCTTACCCCCTTGTAATACAAACCAATATAAGCGATTCACCGGTACGTTTTCACGGCAAACAGACTATAAGTTACTAACTAATCTGGACTATGGACTAACTATGTTAGTATGTGTATATTCAATAGGCCGTTTAATCTTTCAAGTAGAATGTAAGTTTAAGTTTCTGTTTAATAGGTATCAGTTTAGCACATACTTATCTATTTCTTACCGCCATGCATAAACCACCAATGGTAATACAAGACATATAAAAGACAGTCAACATACAAAGAAAAATTAGTTCAGCTATGTGTTATGTTTCGAGGTAAACACCGGTCCTATTTAAACAAGCTAACAAGATATCCGTCTTGTTACAAGAACCGCTAAAGGATACACAGATCAAAGACTGCTACTGCTTGCAAGTTAGAGCGGACACATCTGCATGTATCACAGATGAACAGAAATTATGTCATTATCTGTATATGCCATGTTGGTGACGCCATGTTTGATTGGAAAATTGCCATCACCATGTTCCTGTTTCCGATCAGCCGCATAAGATGGAGTCATCTCAGGCATCTTTGATGCTTTGTCATTTACCTCTGGAGTTGCATCTACGTCGTATTTCTGAAAAGGTAAAGATTCAAATTACCCTCTACATGTCATTTTAATTAACCTCCCTAGATTAGTTAAATACCGGTTACATTTGTGGTTGGGGGCCAGCAGGCGCAATGATTTAGAGACCCATGAAGTTCAAGATGTACACTATCTATTTTAAAGGACATGGGAGATTTCCTGGAGGAGATTCATATTCTGAGAATATTATGCATTCATTGTAAACCCGTTGTTTATACTGAAGATGAATTCCATATTGCATTTCTTTGTTAATTGTGTTTATGTAACAAATGTAAACAATGAATATATTACGGCATTGAAGGCAGCGGCAGACTTTCTCAGGGACTCCGAATTTGTTCATTGCGACAACAGCTTGATTTATGTGTGTTGGTTAATGCCACACTCAGCAATAGTCCAGATATCTGACGGCGGTCTGTACATAATCGTGTCAAGACAAGACATTTCACTGATCAACGTCATGAAGATCGATCGACGCAATTGGGATAGGATCACATGCATCAACCAAGTCAGTGAGCCTGACCACCCGATCCCGTTAGTCGCCTCTTACGACAGGCATGATTAGCTAAAGACCATTTTTCACCCGGATCTTCATTGGGGTTGTGAAGACAGTGTAGGCTATAGGCAAATATAAACATCTGCATTTAGTGATGCAGCTGTCTAATAATTTCTTTAAATTTCGCCAATAAAAATTCCAAATTCATAGTAGAATCCTACATAAGCATACCCCTTCGTGATTGACTCCGAATCTGAGAGGTCGGAGGATCATCTCTGGCAAACAGGGGAAGAGGCAGTCAAATAGAGGGCATATGAGACGTGGGTCCAGGCTTTTGGGGTCCGTTCTTCCTAAAAAAGAACAAAGTCATGCGTTTGTATTCTATCCGGATCTTATGCATGCTTTTACTTGTTTTAAAATCATTTCTTAGTATGACAACATAATAATGTTACATGCACTTTGATCTCACATATCCAATCATAATGTTAATTGGTATGGCCTTTTGAGTGTTGGAATTGAAACGTTCTGCTTCCTGTGTCTGCCGCTTTGAATAATTATCGTATCTCGTTTGTGTAGATCGATGCTAATGACGATTTCGATCACAAGAGTGTCCAGACTATTATTTACAAACAAGGGACGGTGTGTTAGACTAGTGGTTAAAGCGTTGGTTCTTCAAACTGTAGAACCCGTTCGATTCCCCACATGGGTACAATGTATGAAGCCCATTTCTGGTGTCCCCCGCCGTGATATTGCTGGAATATTGCTAAAGCTAAATTCACTCACTCACCCACACACATCTGATCTGTCTAGCCACAATATTACATGAGTTTCCGTAGCATATATTAAGCATATCCTTGAAAGATTTGTACCCGTGCTTCAAACAATTCAAAATTAACATTAAGGTGTTCGGTAAGATAAATACGTTGTACACTGGTCCCTTGGGGCCCATGGGTTCATGTACCTTCGGGCTCAGGGAACATAAACAAACATCGAGGGTACATCAACCCATGTCCTCCTCGTGAGATTACAAAGCTAGCATTAGAACTTACATCCGGGATCTGAGGCAGAAGAAGTGGGACACCCAGGTGGGTATTAATAAATTACATGAAATAAAACCCCATATTGGTTACATCTACTTGGGTTGTCAATCCAGATTTGAAGAGGTCATCATGCGACGATGTCGCATTGGCCATACAAGATATACTCATGGGTACCTATTAAAAGGTGAGGATCCTCCGTTTGGTATCCCTTGTGATGAAAGAATCATGGTCAAGCATGTCTTGCTTGACTGTGTTGAATATTCCATCACAAGGGATATCTATTTCAAATCACAAACTATGAAGGATCTTTTTAGTAATATAAGTTCTCATTTAATTATTGCCTTTTAAAAAAAAATAGACTTGTTAACTGATTTGTAAATAGATACATATTTTATTATTGGCAGTTTAAATTTGTAACTGAAATTGTTAGTGGCTGTACCCTCAAAACTTTCAAAGTTAAATTTTGCTTACCCGATTTTTAAACGTAGTATATTTGTTCCTTTAAATTTCGGCTAAACTTGTCCTACAATCGCCAGCGGCTGAAGGGTGATGTAAATCCAACTAGGGTCCATGCAGGTTTTAAAGGCACTATAAGTCCCCATGGTCCCTAGTATGGTGATCTACCTTCAGTTGTTGGCGATCCATAGCCCAATTTTACATTGTATTGTCCAGAAATAATGTTCTACTTTTAAAGATATATACTAGCTAGTTTTAACTCAATCTGTGATAATCTAGTGGTTTTACTGTCCTTCGTTGACAGGGTTTTATATATTATATGTATGTATTATAAATTTAGAACTGGTTTTAGTCACGATATGGCTGAAATATTGCCGATGTGACTTTAAATCTTAACTCACTCACTCACTCCTCCTCGTGACCAGTGAACAACTTTTATTGTACCCGTGCTTCAAACAATTCAAAATTAACATTAAGGTGTTCGGTACGATAAATACGTTGTTCACTGGTCCCTCGGGGTCCATGGGTTGATGTACCCTCGATGTTATCGATGATACATCAACCCATGCCCCCCTCGTGACCAGTGAACAACTTTTAATGTCCTCTTTTATGGCTTTCAATTATACAATTTGGATTAAAACGGATATTTTTAAACATCTGGAAGTAGATGTCCTAACTTACAGGTATTCGACTTGATGGTGCATGTGAACTAGGTTAGACGTTGGTTCATCGCAGGTGTTTGAGTTCTGCTAGGCTGAGGTCTTATTACAGTCATATAATGGCTGTGCAGTGTGGTGCTATGTGGTGAATGTGTGGCCAACAGAGATTCGCTATAAGCATAAATAGTTGTAAACATGTAGCATCATTGTAAAACATGCCAGAAGAGTGATGTCCTCTGGTTTCTGCGTAATGGCCACCATGCTGACCACATGTTTTTTTAAATAAAGCACCTTTTAAACCGAAGACCTTGTTTACACAAGTCCTAAGACTATTACATGCAGGAATTTTCTATGAAAGAGGTAAATAAGGCAATGTGTTGATTGGATTTGTTGGTTTGTTGTTTAACGCCGCACTCAGTAATATTTCAGCTATATGACGGGGGTATGTAACTAATCGGGTCTGGACCAGACAATCCAGTGATCAACAGCCTGCGCTGGTTGATTGGTTGTTGTTTAACACCGCACTCAGCAATATTAAGCTATATGTTGAACAACGTGTTTTAGTATTACGATCAGCCAATGCCACTACATGCCCAAAGTGATGAAAATGAAAGGTGTTGCTGGACAGGGGAAGGGCATAGTGATGTAACCTTCATCGTACGAATATAGTGTAACCTGTTGGATAAACACAGGCAATGGAAATGTGATTAAGTTTTCCTTATCTCTTCTTCACAGTCGAGTCATGGACCAGATAATTCAGTGATTAACAGCATGAAAATAGATCTACGCAACCGGGATACGATGACATCTAAGTCAGCGAGCCTGACCACTCGATCCTGTCAGTCGCCTCTTACGACAAGCATGGGTTACTGAAGCACGTATAAGAAGTACCTAGAAGTTTAAGGTTCTCAACATCATTCATACGTATAAATTAGAGGAAATGCTTGTCAATCAAAGCGGTAAATACAGGAAGTAGCTGCCAATCAAAGTCCATTGCAAGATCAGCACTCAAAATGCAACGCCCCTAAAATAATGATCGGAATACGTACTTTTGATACTGGTATAAATTACTGAAGATCAGGGGTACGGGGAACATGGGTATATTTCACGTCGTATTGGAACGTATTTTTCTTTCTCAGTACAATCAGACGTACATCGTGCATTATGATAACATATAGGCGGAGGAGATATCTATTATTTGTGAAAGAGGAAAGCATTAAGACATTGACTTAACAAATGTCAATATCATCCTGTTGAACAAATCCAGTTCACTGATAGTAACGTCAAACGAATGGAAAATTGACATAACCTTGACTTAATGATTACAAAAACGCAATTAACTTACACTTAACTTTTTTATGAATAATTTTTGTGTATGAATTACATTTTTGATGAACTATTACTGTCAATTGTTTCTTCAACATTGCGTTGGTCGATTGTACCAACTGAGGCCATCATCGTAGGCCTTGACCAAACAACGGGGGGTACTAGAAACACAAAGACGGGGTCATCCAGTTACCTGTGATGAAGCTGACGATGAGCCCCACAATCACCACTATTGCAACCGACGTCGCTGTGTAGTTCAGATACGACAACGTGTACAACGGATAGAAGGGGTCACTGTGGAAAACAATACTTGTTTGTTATTGTAACCGACATACTTTGTATGATGGGCGGCAGAAGTGATTTAATTACCTGTACTTAACGATCTTCGTTGACACGGTTCGTAACTCTGACATTTAAACGGCATTGAAGCTTACATATAATTTCTCTTGCACAAACAATTTCATGTAGGATTGAAATGAAATTACATTTGATCATAATCTGATATAATTTTGAACTGGCGTGTTGGTTCTAATAACATAATTGATACACATGTTTAGTTTCCACTACATCTTGGGCACGTCTTTCCCTAAACCCAGCTGAAATAATAGATTTATCAAAGGATTTTTGCTTGTTGTTTAACGGTGCACTCAGCAATATTCCAGCTATATGGCGGTGGTTTATTACTAATCGAGTCTGGACCAGACAATCCAGTGCAAAGAAAGCTCTCGTCTTAAATAAATACTGCTGAACCTGTGAAATGTGTCTAAGGGTTTAAGCATTACATTTTAACAGTTGACAGTTGAACACTTCATGTCGAACCGATACAGTCTCACCTTGACTTTGACGTCAAGGGGAGATTAACAGCTGCAGTTGAGTTCACGGTGGACATTGTGGTAGCGATCGTTGTCATCGTCGTTGTTGTGATGTTCCAGTTGCAGCCCATAACAGACACGGCAGACGGAATGGCATTGAATGCTCTATTGACGAACGCCGCTATGCAGATCCATAACATAATCGCGAGAGACGTCAGACATCCAACTATGGCACCCTACAACAGCGACGTTAGAAACTCAACATAATTGTGTTATACTGGCATTTTTATAACACCTTATAGGTGCTGATGTCATGATACAACAGCATTGCCAGTGTACACCTTTCAGTATGTATGATTTGAATTCTATTCTCAGGTAATTTGAAAGTAATATTAACACACGATTATACCACCTTCATATTTAATCTCGGACACGGTGTCCAGGTTGAATAAAACACAATCATTTAATGGATACATCTCTAGGAGTGAGTGAGTGAGTGGATATTGCATAACGCCGCATAACAAATTGTGCAGCTATTCGCAGCCAGTGGAAGGAGAGTGCAGCTTTGTTGCATTATTTTAAAATTTCACGTGGTCATGGAAACATTGGTGATTAGGTGTAGATTCTAGCGCATTTATCGAACAAAACATTTTAAGAAATAATGACTGCTTTCTCACAAAATATCACAAAGCTTAAGGGTTTTTCGTATGTTGAGAGTATGATCAAGCAAAGTATAGTAACGGTAAAAGGTAACTGTGCGTCATACATACAGGTGAAAATCTTGTGTTTTTGACAATATCAACATAATATACACATGGAAAAAGTATCGCAACACTTCATATTTTTCATATCATTACCATTAACCATCGTAAAGGGCCTTATCAAAGCATAAATTAAAAATTTTATGCGGATAGATTGCCCTCTATGAACAATTAAATGGCAGCTTTCTACTCAAAAGATAAGAAATACTGTAAAGAAGCAAATAATTTCAAAATTCTGGCTTACAATCCCCAAGAAGTCAAATGTCAATAACCTAGCACAATGTCAATATCTTGTGTAATGTCTGCGAACTTCAATAACACCCCTTACCTGCCAATACATGAAGATTTTGTGCTGGATGATATTAACAATATTTGGCCACTTATATGGCGCTGATCTCACGGGACATGCTGTAAGCACATGCAACATGATGGACATTATTACCCAGGATAACACAAGCTGCCTCTGAGGCGCTAGAAGGTTAATAGTCATGATGACTTATACCACATTTTCTGCTTGGTGAACAGAGGCAATTTTAAACAAACTCACTTGCCTAGGGTGTGACTACGCAGGATCTGGCTGGCGTATTAATGTCAAAAACATGCTGTATGCGACTGAGATCGGGACTCCTGTCGCAAGCTTAAGTTGCTATTGGCTTTTGACGTAAGAAAATCACCAACGATGTAGCCTAGCATTGTTGTCCTGGCCTTCTGTTAAGAGGATGGTCATCGAAATGTGGTACAACAACCCTATCTAGGATGTAAGTGATCCATGACCGTTATCCATTCTGTTCGTCACAAGGTCAAGTTTACAGTCGGGTGAAATGCAACCCACATCAGCATATGCAGTATTGTTCCGACGCCAAACTGAGCTCGGCCATCAGATATGAACAAAAGAAATCGAGGTTCGTCCAACCAGTGGATACTCCCTCATCATGTCAAATTCCAGTGTCGCCCAGCTTGACTCAGAGGTACTCGTGCTGCCTTGTGCTCTGGGGATAACAACGGACGTCTGGCTATTTTAGGGCCAGAACAGATTCTGTGATTCTGAGAAGGGAGTTGTCACTGGTGGTCGACCTTAACGCTGATGGCCCTAGACGTCATTAGTTTGCTAGTGATTGCTGGGCAACCGGCTGCTGATGATGCCTGCACCAATCTAGCGCTGATGGTGAAAGGAAACTACGATTGGATGTATCGGTGGAACTCGGGGTCGGATGTTGTGCTCCCTCAACTGGTTCCATTCGGTTCTGCCACTAAATACCAAGGAATGGTCTGAACTCTAAAGGTGGCAGTTCAAAATGGTATGGAATATTGTTGTCTTGCTGACGATTATGGCAATAGTTATTCTCAACTCATGAAGTAGTGAACTATGAAACATCAGTGTCTTGATGACGTGACGTCACACGTGGACTGCCAGCCCGTGGCAGGTTATGTGAGATGTTTTCATTTGATAAGCATAAAAATGTCTGTCAACTTGGCCTTACGCAATGCTTGTTTGCAGCATACCCATGGTGTGTAGACGTTGCTTTTCAACAGCTGTTGCACTGCGCAAATTGTAAACCACGAACCTTAACGCTCTTGGAATTATTTATATTCAGAATACATTTATTATCAGTGAACGTTACACTGAGCAGAGTTACTTTTTTCCGTTGGTATCAGGACTTACCCAAGAGTTCGCCCACGGAAAGAACATTCCCAAAATAAAGATTCCGAACACAGGCCCATCCAGGACGCTTGTTACAGCATACGTTGCCTGAAGGGTAAACACACTGATATAAATCAAACAATGACTTATATAAAAGCTATTATGGAAGTTTACACGAAAATAGTTATCCCGTCGAAACGCATTTTAATAGTATGACAATAAAAGTGGAACTTTTACAATCTTGAAGTATGAGGGATGTTTACGTTCGGAAGATTTTACGTCATTAAAGAACGGCACTCATATGCAACCTTTTGTCGGGAATTCATGGTAATGGAGGCCCCGTCTGTGTTTGTTGACAGTAAATGAACGGGTTACTGGTGTTCTCAAGAAGAGAACATTATCGTACACATATTACGAGTTATTTTACCTGAAGGACGCTCCCCAACTGAGCCACGCCATATGAACAAGCTATTGTCACACCACCCATAACGAACACTGTAAAATAAACGGATATTACGTGTCACGCCGCTGTACATTAAAACAAATAGTATAATAAGCAGGATCATACACAGTATCCATCAAAGTATCTTTCACAGTATCCTACAAAATATCCTTCACAGTATTCTTCAAACTATCCTTCATAGTATCCTATGCAGTATTCTGCAAACTATATTACACAGTATCCTTCTGAGTATTCTTCAAACTATCTTTCTCAGTATCCTACACATGATTCTTAATACTATCCTACACAGTATCCTTCTGAGTATTCTGGGCAGTATCCAACAGGATTTTCTACATAGTATTCTGCACAGTATTCTGCACAGTATCCTGTACCAATCTCCAAACGGAATCCTAAACAGTATTTTACATAGTATCCTACGCAGTATTCTAAACAGTATCCTAAACGGTATTCTATACAGTATGCTACACAGTAACCTACACAGTATTCTACAATGCATCCTACACAGTATCCTACAGGGTTTTCTACACAGTATCCTACACAAAACCCTAAACAGAATCCTAAACAGTATTCTACATGGTATCCTACGCAGTATTCTAAACAGTATCCTACAAAGTACCCTTGACAGCTCCGTAAACAGTATCCTACACACAATCCTAGACAGTATCTTACATAACCCATTGAGTATCGTAAACAGAATCGTAAACAGTATCCAACACAGTCTTCTAAGCAGTATCCTGCAGAGTATTCTACACAGTATCATAAACAGTATCTGTATCATGCACAGTATTTTACTCAGTATCCTATATAAGGTATCAACACAGAACATGCACTTACCCGTGACCTTGGAGAGAATGGTCATACTCCTGTCAGACAGTTTCTTACAGCAAAACGGTTGGATCAGATCATGTGGTATGACGGCGCCCATAGCGTTCAGGGTGGATGACAGAGTGCTGTAACACATTTCAATACCAGTACTCTATGAGGGACATGTTGTACACGAAACGCTGCCTAGTCGAACCCACCACCAAGATCTTTGCGGCTCAACACTGGCTTCTGCATGACGCAGGTAGCAAACCCCAGTACTCTCCCAAAGACTGTCACCGGTCTTGGAGGTGCACAACCTCAGGCAATGAGAGCAATGTTAGGTTTGTATATTTGCCATGTCTATCTACGAATCTTGTCAATTACATTGTGTGAAAAGGGACAGATGATTAAAAAACGTAAATGATTGATCAAAATGACATAGTTTGTTTGTTGTTATAAGTAGCAGTAGTATTATCTCAGTTTTCGGCATAGTGAGCATTCTAATTTATTCCCAGTTACACGTAAAGTACTCAAACCAGGAAGGTTTACAGTCACACAACCATCCAGTGTAATACAGTGAAACTTGGATAGACTGGACACCTCTGTTTCCCTGAAATCGTCCGTACTAAGAAGCAACTTGTTTAACGATCATGCATACGAAGTAGTGTGAAATATACTTAGCATACATGCCACGTTCCCGAACAGGAATCTCCAAGAAGGATGGTATTACGAATTAACAGCCTGAGGGTTCGGAATAACGAGGTGTGTCATTAGCAAGGGTAAACCCTTTACCTCAGACTTCCGCTGAAGATGCACGAGACAAAGACTCCGGGCAGTCCTTGGAACTGGCTGAGAGTGTCCATGACAAACAGAGGCAGCAGCTGCAACATGGGATGTGAAACACGATGATCTCGGCGATACTATGAAACTATGAAATCACACAGAGTCAGTTGTATATAGGGCACAGTCATTGCTAACAGCGGCGTCAATCTACATTCACTCACGTTATATTTAATGGAAATTTGTTGAATGAAATCTTCGAAGCTATGAATACACAATGACATTTAGAAAGTGAACAAACGTAACATTTTCGGGAGAGGGGCAACAGAGGCATAATAGGAACATCATACTGTAGAATTGGATACGGTGTTAAAAGCATGAATCCCATTTCTGAGTCGAACAAAGACAATTGTTGACATAATAAGAACATCTTACTGTAGAATTGGATACGGTGTTAAAAGCATGAATCCCGTTTCTGAGTCGAACAAAGACAATTACAAAATAATAATAATGCTAACTTTTGCGCCTAGAATCCAACACGATGCTGCTCTCTGGCGTTACATTATTACCCTGACAGAATTGTACTTTCAAAGCTGCTACTAAGCGCTAAGCGCGACCGTATAGGTCCGTACATCCGCTTTTCAGGTACCCATTTTGAACAGCTGGGTGGACTGAGTGCAATGTGGACGAAGTGCCTTGCCCAGGGACACAGCACAGTATGAGACCCAGGTCACAAATGTTGGTGTCTCAACCGGGATTCGAACCCGGGCCTTATTGTTGACATAATAAGAGTGAGTGAGTGAGTGAGTTTGATAAATGATACGGTGTTAAAAGCATGAATCCTATTTCTGAGTCGAACAAAGACAATTGTTGACATAATAAGAACATCTTACTGTAGAATGGGATACGGGGTTGAAAGCATGAATCCCGTTTCTGAGACGAACAAAGACAATTGTTTTAGTCAAATTCTGAAACATCTATTAATCTAGGAAAGTTGTATGACGAAAAGCTGTTTAATTTTTCACAAGTGTAAATTTCACGTTCAGAGAAATTGTAATATGGCAGGGAAGTTTGAATGTAACAATGTTTGCATTTATTCGCTTTTAGATAGATATGATGTGTTGACTTCATTTATCATTTTGTGTCATGGTAGTGAATGTTACAATGCTGGATGTTTGTAAACAAGAATAGTGCATGAATTAAGCTAAATGACAGTAACTAATATCTTGCTAGTATTAACTGAAGTACATATTATATACAACTGTTTATAAGGCACTATCAGATAGACCAACCATCAGTTGACAATACAATTAATGCGTAATATTCGATGAACATAGAGATTTTTCATTTACATCTTTCTTTTATTCTCGAGTACAACGTTTCAGGGCTTGTTCTGGCCCCATCATCAGGTAAAACTGAACCGTAACTGTTAACTCTGGCCGTGACGTCACAATGCTTATGACGTCACAATGCTATGATAATATCAATATATAACATATGCACAAACACAATGGTTGCAGCCTTACGCTAATAAATGCGATGAACAAAAAAAATGCCACTCAGAAAATGGTCAATATATAACATATGTTATATTTGGGATTACACTTTCTTTGTAAAGTACAGACTCTAGTACTTTTGTTGGGTGGAGTCCCATCCGGGATTGGAACCCACATCCTCTGAGTCAGGCATCTAATCGCCAGCACACAAAATCAGACACCTAACCCACTCAGCTACCGCGGCTTCCACCAGCATTATGACTTATGCTAATAGCTTGGCATCGCTTTTCCCGCAGCTGTCAAAGCTATTGACTTGGAATAGGACTCGGAACGAAATTCAACGTTGTCATCGTTATCACTGAATGGTAATGCTTTGGAGAATGCTAGTAATTTGTAACATTTGTTTGTTTCTCATATTGCCTCTAGATGTGTGTGGTTAAGATGCTTGATTAAACATGCGTTATATGCTTTGTATATAAAATAATCTCATGTTTATAGTTTACTGTATATCGCCTTTAAGGTATGCGTATTCTGTGATCCGTGCTGAAAATGAGGTTGATGAATTTTATCAGATTACAATACAAGGCATACATAAGTCAAACGTACCTCATCTGTGGTGAAGATGAAGTTGTTGAATTTTATCAGATTACAGCACAAGGCATACGTAAGTCACACCTACCTGATGTGTGCTGTAGATGAGGTTGTTGAATTTCATCAGATTACAGTACAAGGCATACGTAAGTCACACTTACCTGATCTGTGCTGAAGATGAGGTTGTTGAATTTCATCAGATTACAGTACAAGTCATACGTAAGTCACACTTACCTGATCTGAGCTGAAGATGAGGTTGTTGAATTTCATCAGATTACAGTACAAGGCATACGTAAGTCACACTTACCTGATCTGAGCTGAAGATGAGGTTGTTGAATTTTAACGGGTAACAGTCGGCGTAGAAGGCGAACATGACGATGCCGATCATGCAGCACAGGCTGACGATGAAGATAAGTCCTGGCAAGTTTATCAACATAGCCCTGTAAATGGGAGTGGAAATGATAAGTGTCCGATGGTGTTGCGATCCGATGTACTAGCCACAAAAGGAAACAAGGGACAAAAGAAATCAAAACATATATTGAAACTACATGTATATACAAATACATATGTAAACCAATGATTTAGGGAATTGAATTGAAGAAATATGCTCCGTTTCGTGACGTAACGTCATGGACCTTACAAATACTGTTCTGTCGGCTTCTTATGGTATCAATACCCACCTATTGTATTCTACACAGAGGGTTTTCAGTGTTATATTTTCTAATTTAGAAAGAAATTTACAGAACATAGTTACTTTTTGTGGCTAGTATAGTCCCGAGGGGAAATCCTGATTTTGTCGAATGCATTATGGTTTCCTGTGAGTGTGATCATTGGTTATTCAACACTGACCCACACTAAGCACAGTTTTCCACGTTAAGCACACACGGTTTACATTTTTTTGCAAAACTCCTAAAATAATACGATTGGGTTCAAAGCCGATCTGAACAGCATTTCAGTCATGTCATGGCAATAACATCTTGATGCAACAGATTTAGTTATTTCAATGCAACTCATTCGCTCTGTCGCTTATTAAACACACAAAAAAGGATTTCTTACAGTTGAGCCTTCCTTGGGGTCGGACAGGAGAGTGCTCTCTGGATTTGGGCCTGGCTCGCGCCATAGAGACTCAGCCAGACGAAACCACCACCAAACACTATAGACCAGAAGGAGTGTCGAGTTGTAGGGTCGGGGTCAAAACTGGAGAGATAAAAGTTGTATGACCTGTCAAAAGCCATTTTCTAATTTCACAGCCCCACATCTCCTTAGTTCCATCTTTGTTTGTTTGCTAAACTTTCCAGCTCCAGCTATATACATACATACATGCATACATACATGCATAAATACATATATTTCAGAAGGGAAAATCCCAAATTTCAAGTTCAAGTTGTAACGTCATGAATATTGGACATCTTACTTTTCTCAACATTGACGTTCTGTGAGGTAATGTGCTTCAAATAACTAATCAACAATAAGACTTACATGCACCTAATGTGTGAACAGTGGAGTGTTGGCACACAACTATTCTTCCTTAAAATTTGTAACATATGTTTTATTTGGGATTACACTTATTCAGTAAAGTACAAATTCTAGTACTTTTTATATTGGGTTGGATACCGTCCAGGATTCGAATCCACACCCTAATCGCAAGCACGCTGAGAAAGTGTAATCCCAAATAAAGCATATGTTACATTTGACCACTTTCTAAATGGCATTGGGCATTCATAGCGTTCGGCCTTGGGAGCCGTGCCAATAAACATTTATTAGAGGGGTACACAAACTCACTCACTCACTCACTCACGCACGCACGCACGCACGCACGCAAATGATTCTGATAGTAAACTTGCTCATGAAAGTTGATCCTAGACCGGTTAGCAGCAATTTCCCAAGCGTTACTGAAGCCGCCCATGAGCATGGAACCTTGGATGAGCACTGCCAGCAAGCCTGCAAGGATCACCACCGCTTGGAAACTGTCAGTCCACAACACAGCCTTCATGCCACCCTGGAGAACAATACCAGTCATCAGTAACCAATCAAAGGGGATGTTTAAATGTTGTGGTGTAGATAACGTTTTTCATTAGTAGACCAGGATAATGAAAGATGGGTAATTGTAATTGATAGGTAACATGGTTAACTGTTAGTTTTGTTTGTTTGTTGGCTTGCAGGTTGTTAACGCCACACTCAGCTCAGCATTTTTCCAGCTATACGACGGCTTCTGTTAATAATCGAGTCTATACCAGACAATCCAGTGACTGACATGATGAGCATCGACCTACGCAATTGGATACCATGACAGTCACCAATCACTGATCCTGTTAAACGTAACTGTACATTTCAAGCATGGGGTAGTAGTATAACCACTTATACAAGACAATTGTCAATGCTAATTCGTTTCTGCCCTCTAATTAAATCACTCAATAGCATTCATATGAGCTAAGTAATTGAACGATACTGTTTAAATACGTGACAATATGCTATTCCAAATGATGACTTTACATTATTCAAGGTCTTAGGGAATGTTGCATAACCTTTCATTTTGGGCATGTTGAGGTCCGGACACCCAAGACAACTAGACCAGTCATCAATAAAGATAACGATGTTTACATAACAATGAAAGACCAGTGTTACCTGTGCGCCAATGCTACTAGGTTGTTTTATGGCTGTGCAAGAAATATGTTTTTTCCTGGACAAGAAAGATATTACTGTTAACTTGAACTACTTACTAGTGTTGTGTAAATAGTAGCTATAGCACCTATAGCAACGACCGAACCCCAAAGGTCAAGTCCTGTCACTGTAAGGAGTAGAAAACGAAATACAAAATTAATGCACTCTATAATGAAAGTCAAATTTGCAGGAATATTGAACGGGTTTATACTATTATGGCGATTGGTGATTTTAAAAAGCTTTCGAAAGTATTGCAAAGAATCTGAATACTACAAATTAATACTGATATTTCAGATGTCAAACACAATTCCGAAAACTGGTGTCGTTGAATCAGTGTCACAGAATATTCAACAATGTCAGATTTTGTAAACTAAACTCAGCTTTTAATGTGGATAGAATAGTGTGTTGTTCAACAACGAAAACTAATACTCAGCTTTCAGTGTGGTAAAGAACAGACTCTCACGCTAATCATTCTTGAAGCACTGTACCATGTCAGATGAAAACAACAGTATGCCGAGAAACACAAATAGCAATAAGTGATGGTTATGGCAACATGCATCATCACACCCGGGCGCTTCGTATATACATATCATATATTAGGAATAAAAAGTGTATTGTGAGACATGTCTTCATGTGCATAATTATCGGATTGTGATACCATCCATGACAATACCCATCACAAGAAAGAAAGTTTATCCTCTGCAAATGACCATATAGATATATGATAATTATGTTTCAGGTATGGCTATACGGATATACGAGCAGGCTGGCAAATGCATATTCCTTGCTTACCTGCATTGAATGCAAGGCTAGGGGCGTACAATACAAACGACACGTATATAATCTGAAATGGAAAAAACGCAACATATTCACTGTGGTGAGGTGAGGTGGAAGTGGGTTTTACGTCGTGCTTGAGAATATTTCGCTCATTTGACGACGTGCATGCGTGTGTATGTGTATGTGCGGCTGTTTGTACTAGCCCAGACTTAAACTGTTGTAATAGTGCTAGCCCAATGAGATACCATGCCGCAGTGAAGCATGAATACCCCACTCAGATACAATATACTGACTCCGAGCCGACCAGTCCTTGTTGAACCCATTAATGCCGAGCGCCAGGCAGGGACCAACAAGTACCATATTTTAACGTCTTTAGGTATGACGCGGTCGGGGATCAAACCTGCGACCTTCCGCTCTTCGGGTGGACGCTTAACTACTACACCACGGAGGCGGTCTATTCGCTATGGAAACACACAATTAGTGGTAGCGTTGAAACATCATGCATGCACATACATACATACATACATACATACATACATACATACATACATACATACATACATACATACATACATACATACATACATACACACACACACACACACACACACACATACATACATACATACATACATACTCACAGTTGGGAACATGAAGAGTATCACCGCCATTGTCCGAACAATTTTGTTGAACCTCATTTCCAGATACTGAAACAAACATCAAATAATCAGTTATATATTTTGACTTTATTTTCTAATACAATGTACGTGTACAACTCATTAATTTATTATGTGCGGATCATCAGAATGATTTGGAAGGATTCTGAAGGCATTATGAACATTGGTATGGTATTGGTACTCCCCTGTAACTGACAATTTGTCATTCACGGTATGCTGAAACTACAATCACCAAAGGGACTAGATGATGTACATGGGAATTTATCAGTGTGAGGATGCTAAAACCTAATCTGGAAAATACTTTGGATACAGATATTCTATCCATGTTTGCATGTTGAAACTTTACCTGGAATATACTTTGGATACAGATATTCTATCCATGTTTGCATGTTGAAACTTTACCTGGAATATACTTTGGATACAGATATTCTATCCATGTTTGCATGTTGAAACTTTACCTGGAATACAGTATACTTTGGATACAGATATTCTATCCATGTTTGCATGTTGAAACTTTACCTGGAATATACTTTGGATACAGATATTCTATCCATGTTTGCATGTTGAAACTTTGCCTGGAATATACTTTGGATACAGATATTCTATCCATGTTTGCATGTTGAAACTTTGCCTGGAATATACTTTGGATACAGATATTCTATCCATGTTTGCATGTTGAAACTTTACCTGGAATATACTTTGGATACATATATTCTATCCATGTTAGCATGTTGAAACTTTACCTTGAATATACTTCTGACAGAGTTAATTTATCAATGTCAGAATGCTGAAACTTTACCTGGAATATACATCTGACAGAGATAATTTATCAATGTCAGAATGCTGAAACTTTACCTGGAATATACATCTGACAGAGATAATTTATCAATGTCAGAATGCTGAAACTTTACCTGGAATATTCTTCTGACAGAAATAATTTATCAATGTCAGAATGCTGAAACTTACCTGGAATATACATCTGACAGAGATATTTTATCAATGTCAGAATGCTGAAACTTTACCTGGAATATACTTCTGACAGAGATATTTTATCAATGTCAGAATGCTGAAACTTTGCCTGGAATATACTTTGGATACAGACAATTTATCAGTATTACTATGCTAAAACAAAACCAGACAGGCAATTGTCCAGTATTAGTACGCTATGAAATCCCCAGGAATAAACGTTTGCCATTAAGACAACACTTTCACATTAATATGTTGAAATCTTCCAATTGAATAAATTTCCATGTAAACAGAATGCTGGAATATTACCTGGAAGACACTTGTTATCCCCAGTTTGTAGAAGAATGGGACAAATAGTACGACTGAGAGCACAATCGCGAATACAAACGATAAACACAGATACCAATACATTGTCGTGTATCTGTACATCTCGGCCGGCGTTCCCAGAAGCGTAATGGCAGATAGAAATGTCACCAGCAGTGACAAGGCGACGGGTATTACTGACATCTGCCGTCCCCCAAACAGGTACTCCTTGGAGCTTAGTTTCTTGCGGTCTATGATGGCGTACACAAGTCCAATACTTGCAGATATGAATAATGTCAGGCCGAATAGGACATAGTCAACGACAGAAAACGTTTTCGTTTTGCCGGTGAAGATGCTGTAGTCCTCCATGGTGTTGAGACGCCGTACCAGGTGAGAGCGTGTCAACCGAAGCAATCGGGTTTAGGCGCCCTAGTTATAGCTTCAACTTTGAGACTGTACTGGTTCACTGCATGAGCAATATGTAGTTACATATATGTAATGATAGACGCATATTTTTTTCTCTTTGGAGCTGCACTAACGCGTTTGCCAGTGTATAACCGCCCAAAACTGTTTGTATAAAATTAAATTATTTAATCTGTTCATGGGTATTTAACAGCGTTAAATTGCCAATCCATGCTAATTAACTGGCTTAGATGTGTTTAACCACATTTCTAGGAACAACGTCTCTCTTATTCAAACTGTGACTCTTTGTCTTTAAGCTGGCAGTAAATAACTGAATTTATTATTGTAGATAAATAGCACTTTACGGTAGCCCTTTATGCATTAACTATGTTGACAAAAGAAGGCGAATAAACCGTCCATCGGAATAATAAAAAACTCTCCAAGCGTATACACACCAGGTTTGAAGGGTAGAATGACATTCGCTTCAGAAATACATGATCTCTATTGCATGCACGTAATAGCACATTATGTGCACCTGGAGCTATTGAGACTGCATACTGAAAAAATTATAAGAATGTTACTAGAGCGTTACGAACCCACTGCATTATGCAAACTGTGAGTCAGGCCTGTGCAATTTGGAGGACCTGAACCTTTGTCAGTAACTCGGGACATGTCTTATACTGATCCTTGTATATAAAGTTTATCCCCTTTACGTCCACTTGAATCTGATCTGGTAGATAACCGATGTCCACAGTTCTCTGGTGTTGCGGCTTACATAGAGATGTAACGTGGATGTAATGGTCATTATGTTTACATGCTTGTAGATGCAATGATCATCATACTGATATGGCTGTTGATGTAACGATCATCATGTGTCTATGCCTGTACATGTAATGATGAAAGTCTAAGACTGGTATTACGTAGAAACATGTTAAAAAGCAATCTCATGCCACAGGCAACACGATTATTCACAACATGCAGCATGTCATTTCTTTGGGTACGGTTTTAATCGTCATGGTACATGCATACCGCGTTTTTCCTTATCGTGTGGTCGCTAGGATCACATAGTTGTGTACAGATGTAGTGGTTGCAGCCCGGGAAAGCCACATTTAAAGGTCACATGGAACCAAAAACTCAAACATAATTAAAACACAATTATCACTTATTCATGACATATAATATACATTGCTGGTTATGAAAAAACATATAAACAAAATTATAAGTGTACAATCGCAAATCAAAAGTGCAATATTGTGTACTTGGGTTTACCTCCCAAGAAACGAAGCAGCCGGGATACCGAACCCAGTCAGAGCGGGTGGGTGTGCACTCAAGTGTAACGGCTGGTTCATTTGCAGATGCCCTCACGGCTCATTGTGTGTATACCGGTATATAGAAATGTTGGGTTTTGTAAATACATGCTCATTTTTTGTGAAAACATTTTGCAATCAAAAGACATCATAACATGTCATGTGTTCAAGTATCACACCTGCCTGTCTGTGTAATTACATAATGTGACAGAGACCGAACTCGGGCCGTAAATCAATGCATTTTGTTTAGGGTGTATAGCCTGATTGGTATTAAGTTCAAATTGCATGTGGTCAGTGATAGCCGCTGTGTAATGAATATTGTCATTAGCAGACAGGCAGGCAGACACACAGGTGTCAATAAAACAAGACATTGAGTTTTGTCTGTGACAACGACATATCTATATCACAGTTAGAAATTCTGTCAACGTTAAATAATGACATTGCTTTTAAGTATCGAACTGAGAAAGTGACTCGGTAAGAAGAACGTGTGGTGAAATAGACAAATGAAATTATATAGACAGTTAATTTACTGTCATAACATATAAAAAGCTCGCGCCTGTGAGATATCAACAAAACATTAGAAAAATAGCTCACACCAAAGCCTTCACCGAGTATTCACCGGACAACCCGCTTCCAAGCTGCGCGAACCTATTTCACTGGGCACGTGCTGTTGAAACCAGTTTTTTCCCCGAAAAATCTGGGGAAAATTAGTGAAACGTTTGACCTCCGATTTGGCGCGGTTTTTTTCATCGCGTTATTTTTCAACTTTATAAGTTGAATTTGCATTTTTGACGATTTGTTTCGGTAAGTCCATACAGAAAGGTATCAGAATCTGCAAAGTTGTGTTTTACGTTGCATGTGACCTTTAAGAAAAAGGGAGTTGAAAATGATGTGGCTTAACCGGCAATGGACATGGTTGAGTGATTGTGTGAATGTGGCTTTCCCGGCAATGCGCTATTACCGTAAATAATGTGAAATATTCATAATGTAAAATCTAGAAATCCAGTTGAATTGTTCGAGGAAAAAGTCCAGATCACGCACACTAGCTGCCTCACGTATGTATACACAAATGTAATGAATATATTTTATGAATTAGCTATGTTTGTTTATTAATGCAAACCTCAGTTATTATGTTTACATTCATGCTAAAAACTCAACAACATAAATAAATAAATAAAAACTTATTTTAGAAGAATTGCACAAATATACTTATAAACAGCCACGCATGGGACGCATAACTCTTTCCATTCCAAAATTCGATATACCAATCATACAAACCAAAGTACTTTACTTGAAGACATAAAAAATATACAAATAAAGTTTTTTAAGAGCAAAAGCTGAAATTGCCCTTTTCCATAGAATGACCCATTAGCATGTGTCTCAGAAAAGATGTAATCATATGTTAACTACAAACCTCATCCAGAATAAAGAAGCCGCCCATCACATGTTAACTAAACAAACAAAGGACAAGTCACTAAAACAATTGGTGACGCTTATTTGAAAAAAACCCGGTATTGATTCCCTTACTCAGTATGGCTTTCGCGGCGATTCGCGGCACCGAGGTTTGTACTTGAAATGTGGCTTAAGCGGCAATTGGTATTTTTCAAATGTGGCTTTGCTGGACGGACACAGATGTAGGTTGTAAGATTAGTTCTTCAAGCGTAGCCCAGTTCCAGCCTCGTCACGTCGAAGGTCCGGGTTTCATTTTTCAATGCAGGCGCAATTTGTGGAGCCCACGTCTGGTGTCGCCCTCAGTATTCAATATTGCTGGAATATTTCTAAAAGCGTTGTAAAAACTCGTTCACCCTGGATTCAATGTACAGTTGGAGAAGTGTTAGTTCGAAACCACATTTAACACTTATCATAACACTTGACCTTTCAGCGTCATGTCAGTGTCCACAATTTTAATGTTGTAAAGATCTCCGTTACTCCAATTTCCCTTCATGAGAGCTCACGAGGATTGAAACTCTGGCTACTGAGCCTAATCTGGATTACTAGTACCTGTTTGGAATTGCAATACTTATTGCACGATGTTCAAGTAAATCAGATACAAGTAAAATCATATCGTGCATATCATTCTGCGCATCACAGCCAATAATCAGGAGTTTAGGGACATTGGGTATCAGAGCCGACAAACAGTAACAAGAAGGCTGTAGACAGTGGGTATCACAGCCGACAAACAGTACTCAGGAGGCTGCAGACAGTGGGTATCACAGCAGACAAACAGTACACAGGAGGCTGCAGACAGTGGGTATCACAGCAGACAAACCGTAAGCATGAGACTGCAGACAGCGGTTATTAGTGCCGACAAACAGTACCCAGGAGACTGCAGACAGCGGTTATTAGTGCCGAGAAACAGTAACCAGGAGATTGCAGACAGCGGGTATCAGCGCAGACAAACAGTAAGCAGAAGACTGCAGACTGCGGGTATCACAGTGCAGACACACCGGAACCTAGGAGACTGCAGACACAAATTAGTACCCAGAAACAGTAGACAGACTGCAGACAGTGGGTATCAGCGCCGACAAACCGTAAGACAGGAGAGCCCAGAAAGAGTAACCAGGAGACGCAGACAGTGATGCCGACAAACAGTAACCAGGAGACAGAGTCTGCAAAAAGTAACCAGGAGACTGCTGAAAGCGGTTATTAGTGCCCAGAAACAGTAACCAGGAGATTGCAGACAGCGGGTATCAGCGCCGACAAACCGTAAGCAGGAGACTGCAGACAGCTGTTTTTAGAGCCCAGAAAGAGTAACCAGGAGACTGCAGACAGTGATGACCAGCGCCGACAAACAGTAACCAGGAGACAGCAGTCATTAGTGACCAGCAACAAACAGACAGCGGTTAAGTGCTGACAAACAGTAGCCAGGAGACTGCAGGAAGCGGTTATTAGTGCTGACAAACAGTAACCAGGAGATTGCAGACAGCAGTTATTAGTGCTGACAAAACAGTAACCAGGAGACTGCACGGTGGGTACAGCCCACAAACAGTAACCAGGAGACTGCAGACAGCGGTTATTAGTGCTGACAAACAGTAACCAGGAAACTGCAGGAAGCGGTTATTAGTGCTGACAAACAGTAACCAGGAGATTGCAGACAGCGGTTATTAGTGCCCAGAAACAGTAACTAGGAGACTGCAGACAGTGGGTATCAGAGCCAAGAATCAGTAACTAGGAGACTGCAGACAGCGGTTATTAGTGCTGAAAAACAGTAACCAGGAGATTGCAGACAGCTGTTATTAATGCCGACAAACAGTAACCAGTAGACTGCAGACAGCGGTTATTAGTGCCCAGAAACAGTAACTAGGAGACTGGAGACAGTGGGTATCAGAGCCCAGAAACAGTAAGCAGGAGACTGCAGACAGCGGTTATTAGTGCCCAGAATCAGTAACTAGGAGACTGCAGACAGCCGTTATTAGTGCCCAGAAACAGTCATCAGAAGACTGCAGACAGCGGTTATTAGTGCCCAGAAACAGTAACTAGGAGACTGCAGACAGTGGGTATAAGAATCTACAAGCTGTCATCATTAGCCCGCGGCAGTCAGAGTCTCCAGACCACATGTGTACACGACCATGTTAAAATGACAAATACAGGGAGACTACAATCACCGCCAAGGACACTTGCATTATTCTACTGTAAGCCTGTCAGGTTTAGTTTCAAAACTGACATTGCTTATAGTAATGTTTGTTTGAGGACCTTCTGTAAGTAGTGAATGAGTGAATTTAGTTTTACGCCACACTCAGCAATATTCCAGATATATGGCGGCGGTCTGTAATCGTGTCTGGACCAGACAATCCGTTGATCAAGATCATGGGCATCGTTCAATTGGGATACAATTACATGTGACAACTTACTCAGCGAACCTGACCACCCATAAGTCGTCTTTTGCGACCAGCACGGGTTACTGAAGACCAATTCTAACCTTGATCTTCACGGGTTGTAATTCAGTGAAGAACAAGTATTTCAACTCTGTTCATCCACGATTATCTGGATATATCTTCATGTCATACAATACACACTCTTGATCAATTCATGAATGTAGATCTCACTGATTGCCAGGCTATTTTAACAGGAAATAAAGTGAAGCTACGGTTGTGAAAAGTTCCTGGATAGTTTTCTTAATAGAATGGAAATATTAAAGTATACACTCCACGATCGAGGATGGACTGCACTTTTTATAACTTTTTAAATGGATGTTATTTCAGTGCAGGCACAATTTCATTTCCAGAAGTGTCTTTACACAGAAGTGGAACATGACTGGCCTAGTCATCCAAGGTGCATTAACCGCTATGTATGGTTCCGTCTCTGGGCGAGGCATATACTTTGGATCGTAGAATCGAATGCCAGTTCTGCCCTGAGTAAATTTTGTGGAATGTCCATAACGTGCCCGTAAAGTTTCACCAATGTGAGACAAGTATTTCATCTGGCAACAAGGTATCACATTCTGGTAATATTTCGCAATCAAAAGCGTTGAAATGTCTGACCTCTGATCAGAACCTGCCCTGATCCAGCAATATGAAGGCGTTCTGTAAGTCAGGACTAGACAATCCAGTGTTTGGTATCATGGGGTTCGATCCACGCAAATGATATTCAATGACGTGCAATATACCATAACAGTCCACTTTGTCGTTTCAAGGACGTTTTGCTGGGGACATATGTGTTATCAATTACACAAAATCAGCACGCGTGTCATATAAGTGCGACGAAAGGGATCGGGTGGTCAGGCTCGCTGACTAAGTTGAAACATGCCATCGTATCCCGACCGCGGTGGTCGATGTTTATGCTCTTGATCACTGGATTGTCTGGTCCAGACTAGATTGTTTACAGCCCGCCGGCATATTCCTGGAATATTGCCGAGTACGTCCTCACACATCAAACAAAACAAACATCGTTCTGCAACCAGTTGGCATTGTGACATTTTTTAGTATCAGTATGTAACATGACACGAAATGGAATAATTGGAATATATTTCGAAACAAAAAATTAGTTCTCACGTCCGCTGCAGACCTATGTCAGGCAACGCATAGTCACAAGAACTGGCTTGACAATGATCATTAAAAATGAAAAGATAAAAAGGAAAACACCATAAAATAGAACTGCCAACAAGAAAAAGTGACCACCACAAACAAATATTCAACAAAACAATTACTAATAACAATTATTTGTCTACATACCTCATACATAAGATACAAAGAAGCCAAGAAACATATGACCATAATGATTCTATAAAGTCTAGACGGCACCAGATCACGACACATAGTCTCACTTTTACAATTATGGTAATAGAATCCACTGCAGAGGTCTGAGAATCAAAGGAGTTTAAAGATACGATTGTATAAAAGCTGGATTGGTATGTCCATTTTTCGACTCATCATTTTTATTGATGTGTCGTGGTTTCTGGTTATCATCATGGCACTTGGAGATTGCCTTGTTTGTGTCCACGGTTCCGCCTGTACGATCTAATGAATATTTCGTGGCATTGTCATGATTCTGAAATATACAAGGGATAATGTTTTACAGAATATACAAATATATTAGACACATAAAACACAATTGAAATCACTCGTAAAGATGCGGGTTAGAACCGTGCTTGTCGCAAAAGGCGACCAACGGGATCGGGTGGTCAGGATCGCTGACTTGGCTGACACATGTTGATCACTTGATTTGTCTGGTCCATATTCGATTATTTACAGACCGCCGCCATATAGTTGGAATATTGCTGAGTGTGGCTTTAAACAACAACAACCACCACCACAACAACAACAACAACAACAACTGATATCAATCTACGGTTTTACACCGTGAAACATTTAAATAAATCAGAAAAGATCTTACCCCTTCGTGGTTAACTCCACATCTGAGAGGTCTGAGTATCATCTCCGGCAAGCAGGGGAAGAGGCGGTCAAACAGAGGGCAGATGAGACGAGGATCCAAGGTTTTAGGATCAGTGCTTCCTGAAGGGATTGAATTACAGTCACTTTTAGCTAGCTTTCTGTCGCTCCTGTAAGTTCTGCATTTGAATGAAACTACTTCAACTGCATAGGAGTTTTTGTCAAAATAGTCCTCATAGCGATTTGAGTGACATCACGTGCACAATTCATATATCTGTTTCAGTCGGTCATTAACCAAGAGATAGAGCTGACAGCATTCTGCTTGTTACTAATTTATCCATGCCCGATGAAAATACACTTCGGGGTATACGTATGTATTTACTACATTGTTTTAAATGGGATGATAATGCACTTAGAGAGATATGGGTCGTGAAGCACGTGACACTTCATTGGTTTGTGTGTGATAATAATACATTTCGGGAGAAAATAACAATAACTGTTTATAAATCGCCCGTATCAACGCAATTATGCATACTCCAGGCGCTAAGACATAAGGCGTGGATCATGCTCCACGTGCAGCTTAATTGTTTCATGTGCAATGATAATACATTTCAGGAGATAGGCGCATTCTGCGCATGAAACTTTATTGTTTTATTGCAGACTGATCCATATCTCCTGAAATGTATTATGATCTCCGCCATGTACCTGGTATATTGCTGAGTGCAGAGTGTAACCCACCAGCCAACCTTACCCGTACATGGGAAATAGTGATACTCACCTGTGATGAAGCTGACGACAAGGCCAACTACAACAACCACCGCTACAGCTGTCGGAGAGTAATTGAAGTACGATAACTCATACAGTGGGTAGAAAGGGTCACTGAAAAAAAAAGGTATCATCATTTTTCATCTTCATCAGACAACGTCTTCTCTGAGGATAACTGCTTTGAAAATGTAATATGTTTGTGTGCTGCTTTGGTGAGCAGACTGGGATTTAACGACGCTTCAAACAGGTTTTCATTTATAGAATAGGAAATTACCTATGTGAAGGGAAAGTCAAAAGCGACTAGCCGGTCGAGGTTTATAACTTCTAAACCTTGCGTTAACGGGCCAAGGATCATAATCAGGACAAGCCTTGAATGAGAACCGGCTACCTGCGGATTCTGGGAAGGATGCACCTCAACAGCGCAACCGTGTGCATATGACCAACCATGTTCCATGTGTAGAGTGGGGAGTGACATTGAAGTGAATTATTTTTAGAAAGTTTACCTTTGAAATATTCATAGTTATAAATGAGAAAAAGTAGTCATCGAATTGCGGTGGCTTAACGATTTCCCTTCCCGCGCCTCGACCTTGAGGTTTAATAGGGGCATTTCAAATAGTTGTTATATACTGAGTCAAAAAAGAAACTTCACAAAATGTAATTTGAAAAATAATGAATAATTTTTCTCTGATGATACATCTATGTATCCGAAATGGGATCCCTATCTTTCGACTCTAGAAAAACGTTAGCAAAACCCACTCAAACCCATCCATTGGTCGTGCAAATGACGTTAGTGCCAAATCAGGTTTTGCACGTGCAGTCGATCATGTGATCTTCGCATCGAAGTTTTCTTCATATGCACGTGTTTGCATTGGCCTCAAGAATTGAAAAAACACTTTTAAACCACAGTTCTAACGGTACTTGAAATGCCACGATTGTCAAATGTGCAACGTGAACGTGCCGTTGGCATGTTGCAAGCGGGAAGATCAGTTATTGACGTCGCAAGAGCAATGGGATGCAGCCGTCGTACTGTGTATGACTTGCGAGGTCGTCTACAACAAACTGGCACCACTTCCGATAGCCCAAGGTCGGGTCGTCCATGTGTGCCGTCACGAGCAGAAGACCGTCAAATCGTCCTACGTCACCTACGTGACAGATTTCTGCCGGCTACACGAACCAGGGCTGAGATGTTTAGAAGTCGACTGTCCTCACAGACCAGTCGAAATCGGTTGCGAGCTGCCAATCTCCATTCTCGACGTCCATACCGTGGGCCAATATTGACGCCGTTTCATCAACGTAAACGTCTGCTGTTGGCCCAACGGCACCTCTGATGGACCCAGAGAGACTGGAATCGAGTCGTCTTTAGCGATGAATCCAGGTTTACCCTCAGATTCGCGGACGGCAGGCATAGAGTCTGGAGACGACGTCGTGAACGGTATGCCCAGTGTTGTGTACAGGAAGTCGACGGATTCGGGGGCGGAAGTTGCATGGGGTGGGGTGCTTTCTGTGGGAACAACCGTTCCCGACTTCTGGTCATCCGTGGAAACCTCACAGCTGCTGCTTACCGCGACCAGGTGCTCACCCCTGAACTCGTTCCTTTCATGGCGGCTCATGGCCCAGGTCTACAGTTCCAGCATGATAATGCTCGGCCGCATACCGCGATGTTGACACGAAATGTCCTTCAAAACGCTGGAATCAACGTCATGGACTGGCCATCGAGGTCCCCTGACCTTAATCCAATAGAGCACGTTTGGGATGCACTTGGGAGAAGGCTTCGTGGTCTTAGGAACCAACCTCAGAATTTGCAGGAACTTGGCGCTCCCTTGCAAGAGCAATGGCGCAGAATCCCCAACCAGGTGTTCACAAGCATCAGGCAGTCGATGAGGAGACAGTGTTTGGCAGTGGTGAATGCGCGGGGCGGCCATACACGATATTGAACTGAGAAATTTCGCATTTTTATTCTTGTGACTTGACATTCTGTATACCCATGTTTTGGAACGGCTGTGTAGCCTAATGGAACTGATTATGGCACTGTTAGTTTATCGAGTACATCACACAGATCTGAGCAATGACATAATAACAATTTAACCATCTTACCATCTCTTGTTCTTTTATGGGGCGGTGGGGTAGCCTAGTGGTTAAAGCGTTGGCTCGTCACGTCGAAGGCCCGGGTTCGATTCCCCACATGGGCACAATGTGTTAAGCCCATTTCTGGTGTCCCCCCGCCGTGATATTGCTGGAATATTGCTAAAAGCGGCGTAAAACTAAACTCAGTCAGTCAGTCAGTCTTGTTCTTTTATAGTGCCCTGAAGATAGAATGTGAAGTTTCTTTTTTTGACTCAGTATATATAGGCATCATGGTGGCATATGGCTATATGATCATGGCAAAGGATAATTTGTTCGGTTGAATAACTGACTGTATCCTTTATGTGATCGTCACGGGTGCTACACGGGGAGCAGGATACGCTCACCCTTTCAAGAACACTTGTTATCATCACTGCTTGCATCATAAACACAAACTTATGAGCCCGAGTCGTACAGTGGGCGATGCCAGAAGAGAGTTCCTACGATTATTGAACGGGCTATGTCACTTTTGTTTATTTAGTTATGTTGGCGTAGCAATGAATTGACAACTTCTTAATCAGAATATATCATTGTTCTGGAAACATTGTAAAATCCCACAGATAAGAACGAGTATCTGATAAAAATGCATACCTTGAGCCTGGCGAAGGAAGGACAGCATCTGTGGTTATGTTTAATGGTATGGAAGTGGTTGGCAGCGTAGCTGACGTTGTAGTGACGTTCCAGTTGCAGCCGGCAGTTGAAAAGGATGACAAAACACCGGTGGACGCTTTGTTCAGATATGCACCAATACAGATCCAGACCATGAGTGTAACCGACGTCAGACCCCCAGCCAGAGCACCCTACAAGAATTGCAAATGGTGGCAAATAATGCTCAAGCCAAACGTTCAGTCAGTCAGTGTCGACGACAATAGGAAAGTCTGTTAATTGAAACTATGCTTACCCAAGAATTTGCCCACGGGAAGAACATCCCTAGGATGAAGAGGCCAAACATAGGACCGCTGAGAACGCTTGTCACGCTGTACGCAGCCTAAAGAAGAAACGTTGTGGATCAGGTGTGTGTAACATAGCATTATCGTAGAATGCTACAGTAACTTACAATCAATTACATGTTAAAAAGCCGTCAATGATTTTACCGAACCCATTTATATAATGTTCACCACTATTTTAACATTACCAAGGAATATGTTTCGGACAGTGGTTAGAGCATGGGACAGTGTAGTGATGTACAGAATTTCGGATATCACAGCTGGTGAGAACGCTTCTTTTGTACCCATGTGAGGACTTTTGTTTTTGTTTAACGACTTCTTCAGCAATATTCCAGCCATATAACGGTTATTTGTATATAATCGAGTTTGTACCAGACAATCCAGTGGTCAACAGTCTGAGCATCGATCTATGCAGTTGCTATACGATGACAAGGGTTAACAAAGTCAGCGAGACTGACCATCCAATCATGTTAGTCGCCTAGTACGACAAGTATGTGTTGCTGAAGATCAATTCTAGCCCTGATCTTCACGGGTTCCATCATTTACACAATATTTCTCTGTAAAGGAAAGGTTTCTCACAATTCCAGAGGTGAACCAAAATCAAGGACACTTTATTCCTGCATCCACGATTCGAACTTCAAATATGTTAGTGAATAATAAGGGACTATAACCACCACCCTGCCACCAGCTCTGCGTGGAATAAACATAGGCATGAACATGTTTCGTGAATATTTTATGGCAGTCCCAAATACTTGGTAATCTGTGAACATTACCTTACATGCTCCATAGACAAAAGTGTAGGTATATTACTAGATACAGCCCCCAAAGTGCAACTACTACTTCACGTACCTGCATCACGTTCCCTAACTGTGACACAACAAACGCCAGGGCTATCGTCAGACCGCCAACTATGAACACTGTTTAAAGGAAAAACAACAAGTACACTACTCATTTGCTTTTATTTGGGGTAAAACTCTTCTTTCAAGTTTCAATTTCCTTTTACTTTCCCACGTATATCAAATGCTTGGAAAATCCTCAACTTTATCCTTGCATTACAATTTCAACTGGAAGAAATATTTGTGTTGCTAAAATGACGCGAAGACGCGTATACTACGGGTAATAGAATGTTCTTTCGGCCGTAGTCACCACTGTGTCAAATATATCTGTGTCTGTATATATCTAAGTCTGGACTTGTTAACCAGTGACTGTGAGTATGAGCAACGGGGATGCAGGATCAGCCAGGTCATAGAGCTTGACCACCCGATCCCCTTACTACCGACTTGGTTTGACCGGAATCGCCACAGGGGACCTGTCTTATTCATTATGGTAGCAATATTCCATTAATATAACGGCGGAAGACCCAAGAAATGGGCTTCACACATTGTGTCCAAGTTGGGAATCGAACCGGGTTTTTTGGCGTGACAAACGAACACTTTAACCACTAGGCGCGCCCCTGTATACATAATCTGTAGAGTGTGTCCATATACATTTGTTGCAAGATACTGGTGCGGTGGCCACCTACCAATAATCTTGCACAGAATAGTTACAGTCCTGTCCGTCATCTTGCCGCAGCAGAATGGCTGGATTAGGTCTTTGGGTATTACGGCACTTATTGCATTGAAACCTGAGGACAGCGAGCTGAAACAGACACAACTGACAGATTTGTCCGACATGAAACTATTACATACCTCCACAACATAAAAGTTGGATATTGGTTTGTATTTAAGTCTTATACAGTGTATAGTATAAACAGACGCCTCTTTATATTGCTTCATTTACAGCCAGATATCTCTTAAAGCAAGAAATTGTGTTCAGGCACGCGTATATAGTTTAGGTCATACTACAACAAATCAGATTCCGCATGCAGCACACCTTTACTGCAGACTGAATCATCCGACAATTGTGTGATTTTATGTAAGAGTTTTGTGTTTTTGAATGTACCTCTAGCCATAATTATAATTGACCATATTTGTTAATGATTAGTGCTGTCTTTCTTCCCGTTATTACTTATGCTGAATGTGGCCCATGGTATTTTCTGCGGTTGCCATTTTGTGCGGAACTAGGGTTGGTCTGTTTAGCTTCCTGTACTCGAAAAAGGAGCTGTCTGAGGTGGTCAATTTATGTATTTCTGTTGCTTCTTTAAGGCCAAACTATGCATACATGTACATGTAATAGCTGTTGATGGTTCAGTTAACGTTACTATTGACGTCAATGACAAAACATGTATTCTGTTTTACTGTTAAGCGCAATCTCAGTCTGTCACGTGACCACATAGTTAAGGGAGATAACCGTGTACCTGAGTCCTCCGCTGATGATGCAGGATACAAACACTCCCGGCAGTCCGTGAAGGTGTCCCAGGATGTCCATCACATACAGCGGCAACAGCTGTGGATAATGTGGATTGTATATTCTGTAATATCTGTTCAATTTTGATTAGAAGCTCCATAAGTTGATGCCAGCAGTCTATGTAGGTTTCGCTGAGGAACACATGAAGTGTTTATGGAAATGATCTTTGTGCTCCTATGAGGCTATGGTTTGTTTGTTTGTCCTTAATTTATCAGGTGTATTACGGTGATCATTAAAATCTGGACAAGACAATCCAGTAATTGACACCCTGAACATCGATCTGCGCAATTCTGATACGATGACACGTAAATCAGTCTGACGACCCGATCATGTTATAAGTCTCACAAGCATGGGTTCCTAGAGACCAGTTCTAATCCATATCTTCTAGGCTCCTATGTGGCTGCAATATATGTGTCACTGTGTGTATATGTATATGTGTCGATAGTATGTTAGAGGCATATCAAAAAAGTAAGTGCAGGTTTTCCCCAAAATTCAAGTCGATGAGTCGAAATAATTAATAAAATCTAAACCTTTCAAATAGTTTCTTTGAGATTTCCTCAAAATTCTAAAATAGCTTAGAAAATAAAAAAGGAATATAGTGGGGCAGGAGTGTTTAGGAAACATTTTCAGCAGGTTATGGCTCGTACATTTCAATAATGTTTTTACATTGATTTGCCACAACATTTGTTTCACGTATTTCTGGTCGGAGGAACAAAAGCCGAATTTACGTGTGTTTCACACTGCCTAACAGATGCTGCCTTGTATGTTTACCGATTACATTTGACTGGTTCTCTGTTTCTGTTTACTGGAGGGGCACATGTTGGTAATGTGATATATATTGATCGGTGGTTCAATATATCATTTAAACAAAGTCCCACGCGTGTCCATGATGTCAAGTAGTGATAATAACGTGTACCTGATCTGCACTAAAGATGAGGTTGTTGTACTGGAGATGATGACAGTCGGCGTAGAAGGCGAACATGACGATGCCTATCATGCAGCACATGCTGACGATGAAGATGAGGCCGATCAGATTCACGAAAAGAGCACTGCAGACAAAGATAGAAATTGTTACATCGTACTCATTTGCCAATCATAATAATAATTCGACCATTCTAATCAGTCCCATATCGTGCTTTCAGCATATTAAAATCGTCAATTCCTAAGAATGATAAGTATGTCGAGAAAGGTGAAATAAAGGAGAATTGTGTCACAATAAATAAGTTAGTTTGAGATACATAGCAATGCTAGTCTTGGTGAGTTTAATTAGTGGATTAAACACCACTTTAAAAGTGCCTCATGGTTAACAAATTAAGGTATTAAAAAGATTAAAAAGATTTAACATCAAACAAATAATATTTATCCATATCAATTTTCCTAAGGATTAATGCTCAAACATTAATAATAAATTTCATTATGGTTTAGTTAGAAGTGGGAGTTTTAAGTAAGGGTAAAACATATGGACGAATAAAACAGAAAGTATTGTACTGAGTGTTAATGAGAAGTATATTTACAGATATTAAAATGAAGACGTTGTTAATCCACATATCGTACTTCACCCTACTTCATCCATGATAAAACCAATATGCGATACCTTTGTGATCACAAACTTATTGCTTACAGCTGTGCCTTCCTGACTGACGGACAGGAGAGAGCCCTCTGTACTTGCGCCTGATTGATGCCATAGTTGCTCACCCACAAGAAACCTCCGCCGATAACGATCGTCCATACAGAATGCCGTGTTGTGGGATCAGCACTGACCCTGGAGACATGCTAACTGTGATGGCATATCTGTTTGGTATACGTTGAATAGTACATCCAACGTAACAGTGACAATAAGATTCTCATGTTGTAGACTTTTATAGTTTGTTACTTTAAAAATCAATGGCTTGTCGAAAAGCAATACTGATAGAAACATATCGTTTTAGTACGAAAGGCGAGAGGTACAAAAGCCCAGAGAGCTCAAAATGTTTTCTTGAATTTTCTGTTTTAAAACTGGTAATAACCACTTTTTCTGGTTACTATTTTGAAACTGGTAATTACCACTTTTTTCTTGTAAATACCACTTTTGAAAATGTTAATTACCACATTTTAAACTGGTTATTTCCACTTTATTTATTAACTCGTTTAATAACAATGGCATTACACGGAAGTTCGTTTAGTATCCTCTATATATATTTGCATAAAAATAGTAATACATGCCCTTTTATATCGCGCCCAGCGAGCGCGCTGAAGGCGCTATGAACATATTACTACCCCAGTAATCGGATCTAGATCAGACTACTTTCCTTGTCATGATCAGCTCTCATGGTCAACGACTCTGGGGTATAGGCAACAAAGTTAATCGTTCACATCACCTTCACTATATTCTTATGGTTACCCGATCTAAGCTGGGTGGCCTGGAGCAAATGTGGGAAAAATCCTCTTGCTCAAGGAGGAAACCATCCGACTCTAGCTGGGATCGAACCGGCGCCTTCCAGATTTTAAGCCGGATGCGGTACTTCTGAGCCAACGGGCCCACTAGTACCTAATATATAGAGATCATTACACGAGCAAGGGTGTCATATGTCTTATACGAGACGAGTGTGAAATTTGGTACACTAAATACATAATTTTGCACGGGTTTCGTATTAGTCATATGACACACATGCTCGAGTGTAATAATGTCTTTATTATCCATTTTATTCGTGTAAATTTGTGAAGTTAAACACGGTAAGCAACTATGACGGCCCTCTTCATTGACGTCACTTTCAACCGTTTAATCACAGAGGACGAAATACAAAAACAATTGTTGCTAGGCAAAAGTGATATGTGCACATATGATATATATGACACTTGTCATGTTTCACCATATGGGCAATGTATAAGAAAATGCACATACAGCAACGTCTGACACAATGTATACCAGGTGAAGTGTACTCAAAAGTGGTAATTACCAGTTTCAAAAGTGGTATTTACCAGAAAAAAAAGTGGTAATTACCAGTTTCAAATGTGGTAAATACCAGCAAAAAGTGGTAATTACTAGTTTCAAAAGTGGTATTTACCAGAAAAAAGTGGTAATTACTAGAGCTGTGTATCGTGGCCTAAGTGGCGAGACGATATATCCCGATACTAGTTTAATGAGGCGAGACGATATATCATGAAAGTATTGGCAAGGAACCTGGGAGACGATTATCATCACGATACAGTGATGGCGATACGATACTTATCCCGATACTTTACAATCCTTAAAACAGGATGTATATGATAGATAAAATGACTGAATCTTTATTTGTTATACAGCAGAACAGGTGTTACATTCACACACACTTAAAAGGCTGTTCATGTAATAAAGTTTCAGCATTTAATGCTTAAGAAAGTACAATCAAACATATTCAGTATACCTTGATCTAGGTTTCCCTTGGAAAGTTGTGTTTCTGCACCAATGCTTTCACGGACAATTTATACAGTAATTTATACCAGAATCACTGCAAAAAACTCATAAGTATGCTTTCTAAATTTTAGCTTTCTTTCTTAACAAAGCTAAGACATCGTTCATAGTTGTTAATAAATGGTGTTATTTGTCAAACAACTAAAACATGTTTAAATTACTTAAAGACAAGTCTTTACAGTTGACAGAGATTGTTCACATGCTTTCACTGATACACTAACTCCTTTGTTCATGTAACAAAGATGGCAGACACAAACAAATTCCTTTTAGGTTCAGTTTGTTTTTAAAATTCAGAAAAGAGACTCCCTTCCTATGACTTATATGCAATACTCCCTACAACTTTAAGTAATATTTAAGTAGTATCGGGATATATCGTCTCTTGTGGCGATAGATCGATGTATCATGGACCCTCGCGATATAAATATCCTGATATATTGCCTAAACGTGTTTTGTATCGATGCACTCGTATCGCGTAGTTGACGATGCAAACATCGATACTATCGATGAATCGTTACACCACTAGTAATTACCAGTTTCAAATGTGGTAAATACCAGCAAAAAGTGGTAATTACTAGTTTCGAAAGTGGTATTTACCAGAAAAAAGTGGTAACTACCAGAAAAATTGCTTATTACCAATTTTAAGACAGGAAAAACATTTTGACCCCTCTGGGCTTTTGTATTTAAGGGAATTGCTGCAGGCTGAAGTTTAAAGAATTCGGTAGGGTAAAAACACTGAAAAGAAGAGTTTTCCAAAAGATATTAAATAAGCTGCTAGAAAAGGAAGTATACGTTTGAAAATTGTATTCACATCATTACACCATAAAGGATATTTCTGCAATATGTTATATACATGTATAATATTATGTAAGTACATTGTTCTCCCCCTAGTTGACTCCCGATAACCTTGTCATCAAATCTCGTTTATAAATAAGCACCCATTATAGACATGAGCATGCGCTTAGGTCTTTGTTCATTAATTGATGATGGGGTAAGAATTTGTTGTCCATCGCGTATCCTGTTTTCTGTTCATCCTGTGGTAACATTTGGCATGGATAACATTATTGATATTATATATTGTTAAACAGAAATGGCCTTACTCGTGGAAGTTGATCCTAGATCTGTTGGCGGCAATGCTCCAGGCGTTCTGGAATCCTCCCATGACGATGGAACCCTGGATGAGAACTGCAAACAACCCAGCGGCGATGATGACCGCCTGCAGCGTGTCTGTCCACAACACGGCCTTCATACCACCCTACACAGAAGAGATCGGTGGAGTTATCGATAAACGAACACGTTCTCCTTGATATAAATCATTATATTCACAGAATTAAAAAAATTCATTATTTATCAAGTCTACCATTTGCCATGAAGAATCATGGCTCATGAAAAATATTGGTAATGCTTATATCAGTGAAATTTGGAATTTATAAACTCGTTGCAGAGAAAATATCAGATTAATGAAGGTAATGGTCGCATGACATGGTATACATGTCGTTCTATAGTATTCCCAGTTTTATTAATTTGGAGATGGTATCCTAATTGTCATGAATATTCAAAGACAAATAAAACAAGATAATTTTGCCTGTACAATTACCGAAATGTAACGCCCTTAAAAATTCGGGTTAACCTTCAACCTACATTCGTCGTAAGAGGTTGCTTACGGGATGGCCGACGTTGATGGCCCATACCATTTTATCAGTTGCGTAGATGCCGTTATTGAGCTAGAATAATGCTAACTGCGGTTTTAAACTACATACAAAACAAACAAACCGAAGAAGATAGGTTCATCCATATATTGTTATCCTTCCTTAGGTTTCAAGCCGCTTTAGACAATATTTTTGGAATGTCACATTGTCCATATTTTTGGAATGTCACATTGTCCAGCTAAATGTAAATGGAATGCCTAAAGTAAGAGGAACGCCGACATTCACTCGAGCACCGGCATACACTGTCACTGCGGGACGTTAACGTCACAACTTATAAAGGGACGCAACTCCATAGACCTTGGTTTCGAACGGCGGACCACGGTGCATTGAAGTTTGTTATTTAAATACGCACTCACACAATTCAAGCTTCATGTATATGACAGCGGCCGTTCAAAGCAAATCAAGTCAAGACCAAACAGTCCAGTGATCGATAATCCTACTACCGATTCACACAATCAATTCACACCCGCTTGACCACTCGTTCCGTTTAGTCACCTCTCTGACCAGCTTGTTGTTGGGACCTGTTCTAACCTTGAATCTCTATAGGGTGGGTGGATTAAGTAAAATCGCATAACGAGGGGTGACAGCCACGTGAAGATTTGTTTGAATGACCTATTTCAGTTGGACTGGTGCGACAGCTAAGTATTTGTCAGAGGTTCCGATATATATAGGCCATTAACCAGCTATAACCAACCCAGGGGGGTAGAAACTAGGTAAACACGCATACAGTGATGTGTTTGAACGTCGGCTCTACGTATACACTGTTGTGTACGTACATCAGCCTTGACCTTGATCTTAAAGGAGAACTCCGAGTCACGGCTTTTGCACTCTCCAGATAAAGACCAGAATTTGTAATCCGTTCTTTGTGAAACAGACATTTCTGTATGTAGGTATTTGTTTTCAGTAAGGGTTATGTACACTGTAAGGTTGCAATCAGAAGACAAAAAACGAGGCCTCCGAGCAACTTGAAATGCAATGTATACATTAAGGTCATGTACGGATCATTTTGCCCCATCTGTAATGCTATAGGTTATAGGTTTTCCCTGTAGAATAGTTAAAGCAACATGATTCACAGAGGTAATAGTTCAAGGCAAAACTATACTTTCTTACGCTACAGATGAGGAGGATGGGGGTGAGGGTATGGTTTGAGGGGGTGTAGATGAAGGGTGTGGGTTCGAATCCCGGATGGGACTCAACCCAAAACATGTACTAAAATCTGTACTTTACTAAGAAAGTGTAATCCCAAATATAACATATGTTACAAGTAGATGAAGCGTTGATACTTTTCTAACATTCCTGATTTAAAAAACTAACCTTGTGTGTTATTAGCAATATTGTCTGTAATAAACGGTGCTTCAAATTGAAAACCTTCGAACAATCGAACATACTGTTCCACATAATAGCCTGTCCACTGTGAAGGGACAAAGTTTTGACCAGAATAACATGTGACTAAGATTTCTAGTCTGTATTTTCACTAAGCCAAATTTTCTTTTCATTTTGTGTATGATCATCCATAACACCATGCAAAAATAAGATGTTTTTATATTCATTTATATTGGTAATTTGCTTCAATTTAACCATGTGACACGAAACATTCCTCAGATACATTGTGGGGCCTAGTTGAACCGACGTTGTTTCGATTTTTTTCTTTATTTCGATTAATTTATTATTGCTTAGATTATTTTCTCGTTGATTCGAGTATTTTCTCGTTATTTCAAGTTTCTATAAATTATTTTGCGCTTCAAAAGTGGCAGCATTAGTATTACGTAGAAATTTCGCTGAAAAAAGTGTTAACATTAAGTAGAGTTGATGTTTTAGTCGTAAATGTTGCAACCACTAAAGGCAGCAGACTGTGTTTACACAGTTTATTGCACTACATGACGCGCTAGCCGACGTGAATCCACGGTGTGGGGCGTGATATGGCGTCGACGTAGGACGAACAGGTCGGAGGTAGATCAACAGCGATTGGTTTTGTTTGAATAAGAATGTTGAGCACTAGATCTCCACAGCTGAACAAATGTGTACGTGTGGCTTGGGAACTATTCAAGGATTGCTCTTGTCTTTGCCCGGAGACGTTTTATCTGGGACACGAACTCCCGCCTCGGTTTGTGGCTGATGTGGACACGGCGGTTTAAATATGTTCTTAAAAATACCCCTGAGAGATTGTTGATATGATTTTGCCATATATGTTTTCTAAGTAAGTGACTAGTTTCAGGAAACTGTTTTACCTGTTAATAATCGGTGTTGATCTACCGTCTTGCCTGACAGCAAAGAAAGAACGACGGAATACGTTCGTTCACAAGGGAGGTAATCTGCAGGACGTCGTGACGTCAGCCATTGCGACGTGTCACAAAAGGTGCGCTTTATCCTGCGATAACGTACAGTCGGAAGCTTCAATCTTTTAGCGAATAATTTCAGAAACCGCCATTAGCATAGCAAAATCGTATTTGGGATAACGTAGATTAGGAACCGGTCATCGGATCCTGGCATCTCTAAAGCATGAACAATTTTGTTGACGTTTCTTTAATGAAGGTCTGAAGGTCTTCGACAGGAAGGTATATTCACTCGTATATATAACTGACTGTATTATTTTGGGATAAGTATAGAATTACGATACATACATAAGAAACAATATGTGTTTAATTATAACTTACTATTTAAAGCATGGTGTTTTTAATCAGAGACGACCATATCGGTTAGTAACGGTATCTCATTAAACAACAACAACTCACCACAGCTGTGTATACAGTAGCTATGAGACCGACGGAGGCCAGTAAACCCCATAGGTTTATTCCTGTTACTGAAACAAATAACGGTTCATGAGAATACCCACGATATTTCATACAAACACATGTAATATTGTAATGACGTTATGCACATGAACATGTGATTATGTCTCATGCATTGTATTTCTATGACTATTAAACGTACATTATTTGATAAATCATACTGTATTTCAGACTTGATAAGCATTGTTGAGCCTCGAATGTACGAATCATCTGCAGACGTTTATTTTTGCATATCCACGCACTTAGCAATGTGCTTGCAATATGACGGCGGTCGGTTAATAATCGAATCTGGATCAAACAATAACATTGACGTGGTGAGCGTTAGTCTACAACGCAGTTGTGATATATAACATGGGTCAACCAAGTAAGCGAGTCTGACCACCCGACTCCATAGGACAAGCTTTTTACGATAAGCTTGGGTTGCTGAAACCGGTTTCCATCTCGGAGCTTCACAGATACATCTGAAGATGAGTTGTGAATTCAAGGACATTCCTGGTACACAGTACCGATTACGTATAACGTGTATGTGTAGACAGTATAGAATTACATCTGTCCCATCAAAGGACCGAGCGGCACATGCCGATGTATAACATGTTATCGTGTTTACCATACTTTACTGTTACATGGCGGACATAAACAGAGTATGTTATCTGGGCCGGGGAACAACGTTGTGTATGCAATGGCAAACTGGTCTGTGTACACGCTATTATACTGATGGCTATATATAGTGTTGCTTAAAAAGATATTTATGTTTAAGAATGATACTACGAAAACCTAATGCTGCCACTTTTGTAGCATAAATATTTTTTTCCAGCGAAATTTCTCTTTGCTTCGATTAGTTTGTCGGTATTTCACTTATATACTTTCTCGTAATTTCGATTAATTTCTCCTTGCTTGAAGTTTCTTTCAAAACTTGAAATTTCGAGTTTTTGAAAGAAACTTGAAGTAACGAGTGAATACTTGAAGCAACGTAAAATTTCGCTGAAGACATATACAAAAATGGCAGCATTAGGCTTTCGTATGATACTCATTGCTGCCTGAATGAGCAACTCACTGATAAAATCGTAACTCTTTTGAATTCTCTGTCGCATTAAAGAAAATACGATTTCTGTGCCAGGGAACGACGCTGCACATTCAGAGACAAACTGAAGGTTTTTAGGTTTAACAAATACCACTATCGTTATACGCATTGTGAGACTGGCTGGTGCTCTCGTAGCTTACCCTTCACATGAACACCTATTGTCATCACTGTTTTCAGTAATCCATTCATAATGTTTTAAAATTTGTCTGAGAAAATGAATAGTGCATACGCTATTATATTAATAGCTATATATAGATTCTTAAGTTCAATATGATTCTCATTGATGCCCGAATGAACGATTTGCGGATAAAAGGTACTATATATATCTTCTCGTGATTTTTCAGTCGATAAAATCATACAATTCACTTACCAACATTTAAAGCCAGCGACGGGGCGTACAACACTAGGGACATGTATACCAGCTGAAATGATACCAAGAATGACTATTGTGGACATACCTGTACACAGGTGTACACGGGGCGTACAACACTAGGGACATGTATACCAGCTGAAATGATACCAAGACATGGTTGTATTTTGGACATACCTGTACACAGGTGTACACGGGGCGTACAACACTAGGGACATGTATACCAGCTGAAATGATACCAAGACATGGTTGTATTGTGGACATACCTGTACACAGGTGTACACGGGGCGTACAACACTAGGGACATGTATACCAGCTGAAATGATACCAAGACATGACTGTATTGTGGACATACCTGTACACAGGCAGAAGGACTTGTACTGTTAATTAGTACAGTAAGGAGGGACGGGGAAATTGAGCTCCTTGTGGGACGCTTTTGATATGTTTTATTTGTTAAAAAACCCAACATTACCAAGATAAAATCAGGCATTCTTAATATACACCACACTAACTTTAAATCAAATTAGCTTTTGAAACAAAGACTTTGCTATTAAAAGTGAGTGAGTGAATTTAGTTTTACGCCGCACTCAGCAATGTTCCAGCTATATGGCAGCGGTCTGTAAATAATCGAGTCTGGACCAGACAATCCAGTGATCAACAGCATGAGCATCGATCTGTGCAATTGGGAACCGATGACATGTGTGAACGAAGTTAGCGAGCCTGACCACCCGATCCCGTTAGTCGCCTCTTACGACAAGAATGGTTTACTGAAGATCAATATTCTAGCCCGGACCTTCACGGGTATGATATTATATGAAGAATACAAAAATAAGAAAGAATAAAACAAGAATGAAATAATCTGGCTCAAGAAACAGTAGTACTTTCAGGAAGCATATGGTTTCCTCACCATATAACCATTATTTTGTGGAATCTTGTGTCGCCGGTTGATTGAGACTGGTGTTGCTCTGGTGCTGAAGTTTCATATTAATGTTTGCTTTTTCCTATGTATGGAATCCCAGATGGGACATTACCACGTTGTTGCACTTCGGTTAATATTGACATCTAATGCTTGTTTTCGTAAGGGCGACAACGCGATAATGGGACAATACGTCAAGGCGACAATGGCCCTTGGATTCCATACATATCAAATTTTGCCTTTTCAAAATAATACAATTACTTTAAACAGCTGGCGGGGACTTTGTTCATAATGTTGGTAATTTCTTGATGTAGCCTAAATACAAATCACCCTTTATACTGATGATTATCACTGGTTACGGTTTTAAATCTAACAAACTATGTCATAATGTTATACAAAATGATATAGAAACACAATTGAACATACCGTGAATATAAGAAACATGACGACACCAAAAATGCGGACAGCTTTGTTGAACCTCATCTCAAGATACTGAAACAAAATAATGTATAATCTCTGATGTCAACTCAACATGAAACGTTTTCTGATGCACAACATCCCCATAGAGACTGCTTGGTTATCTATGTACACTTAACAAGTGGCCTAAACTAGTATGTGTTTGTTTGTTGTTTAACACCCACTCTGCATCCACCATGTCGGCGGTCTGGATATATCGGAGTCTGCATAATCCAGTGATCAACATCATGAGCATCGATGTACGCAGATGGGATACGATGACATGTGTTAACCAAGTCAGCGAGCTTGATCCCGTTTGTCGCCTCTTACGACAAGCCTGTGCTGCTTAAGACCAATTCTTACCTAGATCTTCACCGGTTGCATCAGCTAAATGACAGATGCATTAATTTTGATATGTGGCAGAATGAATCCCAACCACTTTTTCTGCTATTCTTGTACATCATATTTTTTATCTATCTTAAGTCAGATGACAACGATTCTCACCTCAAACACACTTGTGACTCCCAGTTTGAAAAAGAACGGAATAAACACTACACCCGACAGTATTATCGCCAACACAAACGATGCACATATCCACCAGTACATCGTCGTGTAGTTGTAAATCTCGGCCGGCGCCCCGAGCAACGTTAACGCGGACATAAATGTCACCAACAGCGACAACGCTACAGGGATTGCATACATCTTGCGACCACCTAAGAGATACTCCTCCGATTCCAGTTTCATTCTGTCCTTGATGGCAAAGAAGAGCCCGATCCCTAACGATGCTGCCAAGGTGAGAGAGAAGAGGACATAGTCAACGACTGAGAATGCCTTTGCTTTGCCGGTGTAGATGCTGTAATCTGCTTCCATGTCGTTCAACCTTACTCAGCATACAATGTACATCTCCTGAACAGCGACGAGCCTGTTTACAAGCCACAGCACGTTTTTATATATACTCGGCCTGTGAACGTATTATGACGCGTGTCGTATATAGGAGCATTTTATTGTACACAACACACACCAGGCTGGTTATAGCTCGATTGTAGAGGTCCCGGATAGTCGAGGCAGTTATATTGCCCCACTTTGAATAATAAAATGCCATTAACATAGCCAGAGGAAGAAAACGTCACGTGCACAGAAAAAAAGAGAAGAAAAAGAAGATAAGAATATATTTGCACTGATTTTATAAAAATAATGGCGATAATCATATGCACAATAATAATAATGCATGACGGGTGCCACTTGTTCGTGCACTCCAGTTATCATCATTATTTGATAGTGATTTATAAACACATGATCTGTCATGTAGGAGTGAGTGAGTTTAGTTTTACGCCGCACTCAGCAATATTCCAGCTATATAGCGGCGGTCTGTAAATAATCGAGTCTGGACCAGACAATCCAGTGATCAACAGCATGAGCATCAATCTGCGCAATTGGGAACCGATGACATGTGACAGCCAAGTCAGCGGGCCTGACCACCCGACCCCGTTAGTCGCCTCTTACGACAAGCATGGGTTACTGAAGATCAGTTCTAACCCGGATCTCCACGGGTCGTTGTGACACCAATGAATATGCACAGTGGTACAGGCATATGTTGTTTAGTTAGAAATACTCCAGCTATATGGCGCAGTCTTGACCAGGCCTTGACCTGATAGTCCAGTGATCAACGTCATGAGCATCGATCTACCGAAATGGGATACTATGACACGTGTAAGCCAAGTCAGCTAGTCAGACCACCCGATACCATTAATCGCCTTCTACGACTAGCATTGGTTGTTGAAGACCAGTTCTAAGCCTGATCTTCACGGGTCTCACCAATATGTTGAACAACTAGTTAGTATTGCGATCTGACAATGTTGATAGTCTGACGTATGTCAATACATGCCCGAAGTGATGAAAATGACAGGTGTTGCTGGACACGGGAAGGGCAGAGTGATGTAACGTTCATCGTACGAATAAAGGTTAACCTGTTGGCTAGCCAGAAGCAGTGGAAATGAGATTATATTTTATTTATCTCTGCTTCACATTAGTCCAGGTATATCTGTTATGACCCCTTCGTCTCTACGACCTAGTTTCGGATGTCATGGCGGGTTTTACAACCGTTTAAGAGTCCGCCGTAAAGTCCTCTTAAGACATGTGTGTATTTACTATGTAGCGACATCCTGACCTGCGATCGTTTGCTATGCTCACCAAGAGCTCACCAAATAAGTTTCGAACACATTAACACCGTTTTAAGTGTTTAAGCATTTGTCGGAGATGTTGAAAAGACACGGGTGAACGAAACCAATGTCGAAATTCACATTCATAATTCATGGCACAATGGAAGTTGCAAATATCCAAAACGGTATTACGTCGTAAGGGTGCAAAGTTAATAGATATTATGTAAACTGACGGGGAAAAGGAACAACACTTGAACACTGGATTTGAAAACACGTTTGGTGATATCTCCTTTGACAGAATACAACATGGGTAGATTCATTTCAAAGGACTCGGGGTAGATAAGACGTCTTAGATGATTCAATTCCCCATTCAGGGCGTGTATCTATTAAGCCTGTCACATCAAAAGCCTCTTAGTGTGGGTTCACATACAGAAGTAAAATAGTAAGCATCACCACACTGATGCTCGTGGATTTATCTTAAGTCGTAGCTCACACCCCTAAGCTGACACACCCAGCAAATGGGTGATCATGAGTATGGTGGTGTTACGCTGCAATTAGAATATTCCATGAGTATTCCACTTTGAGCTGGAGCGATGGAGTAGCCTAATGCTTAAAGCGTCCACTGGTCACGATGGAGATATTTTTATAGGATATTTATATAGCGCACATATCCAGGCAACGAGTACGTGCTTAAGACGCTGGTATTTTTCCCTCGATCATTGGACGTCAATCTCAACAGCACAGCGTATTATCAATCTCAACTACCTGCGTGTCATCTAACTCTTGCAGTCACTAGGCTCACCAAGTTATTGTGGCTTTCCCAGCTGGGTGGACTCGGACACAGAGTCACAGTACTTTGTCCAAGTTTGCTGCACGTTGCTGTACGGGCAAATAGGTGTTTGCACGTATTCATGTGGCCACCATCTGGTCATTTACCAACGGATTCGTGGGTTCTTTTAAGTGCACAGGGTTGTGTACTGCACACTAGGGGTTGTGACAACACTGAAAGAGTCTGCACACCAAGTTGACTCCAAGGGTTTCACATCCGGTCACAGGTGGGCTCGATCCCGGTACCTCAAGCTCGCTGGATCACTAGCCTGGCGCCTAGGACAGCTCGCCCACCATACCCCACATGGATGCAATGTGTGAAGCTCATTTCTGGTGTCCCTCGCCGTGATATTGTTGGAATATTGCTAAAAGCGGCGTAAAAGTATACTGACTAACTCACTCACACTTTGAGTGTGACAAGTTATGAGACAGCGACGTCATTATAAGATAGAATGATAAGGGCAAATCTACATCACTGCATTCAATAAACTCACAGCGATTGTCCGAATACCAGCATATACAAATATCTACAATACCGTTTTGTACTCATCAAACAAGTAAACTTCAGCGAAAAATAACTTTGTCTTACGTCAAAAGAATATTTGCCAGTCGTCTTGACTGCATATCATTGGTCATGCGCATTGAACATCTCTTCTTAAGATGGACGAGGGGCGCGCATATGTTCGGAACATGACTTTGATGAACTGTGCTTGACGTAGATGTATTATACAGTAGAGTATTCTGTAAACGATGCTTGAGAGCCTCAATCCCACTGGTATTGCAGCTTCGTCTTTGATGTGTGAAACATAGCGTGAAACACCATCATTATTGCATAATGCTTTCTTTCTTTCTTTGAGGAAAGGTTGGCATCTGAAGATGCCAAATTTGATAGTTATCATAGAGACAACAGACTCATGCACAGTTGCATTGTATCAGCGGGTAAAGGTTTCCCACAAAGTTTAACCTTGACATTAACACTCATTTGTCTTTGCGGATTAGCCTAAGGTTTGTTAATTAATGGTCTGACATTTTGAGAGGTAGTTGAAATTCCATGAAACCTAAGCCATCTTGTGTCCTTCATCGTCAAATGTTTGAACTGCTTTGACTTTTTAGTCTGTGAAAGTGAAAGATTTCAATCCTCACCCATCTTTATTAAACAAAACCCAGTTGTTTCTGATTTTAACGACACGTGAGATGATAAACATCGAAACGTTTCTGATCTCGAGGCAGAAACCTTTTAACCCAGCGTGCTGAAACCTTTGTCATGTCCGGTTCATTTGAAGAATCTTATCAACTCTCTCAAGGGAGATGGACACTGCAATGGCTGTGCCACGTGGAGTGAATCGTTGTGATTATATTTACATTAGGCAGTTCTTCATGAGTTTTTGTGGTGGAAGTTGAAGTTATTCCTGATCTTAGAAGACACGGATTTTCGAAATCTCTCTTCAAATCCGCAGCCCGAATCCAGATCAAGGTTAGAATTGGTTTTCAGCAAACCACGCCAGACGTTAGAGGCAATTAACGGGATCGGGTGGTCAGCTTAGCTGACCTGGTTGGCACGTGTCATGTTATTCTAACTGCGTAGACCGATGCTCATGGTGTTGATCAAAGGGCTGTCTAGCCCAGATTCGATTATTTACAGACGGAAGTTTGCTGGGTGCGGCGTTAAACAACAAACATAAGAGTTATGTGCACGATTCTAACTTCTAGAATTACAGTCACCTACCGTTTCACTGAAGTAAAACTTGGTCCCTTCATGGGCTTTCTTTATTTATCATTTTTCGCTTGTGTTGAACGTTGGATAACTCAAAGTCCGTCAACGTAGACACAACGGTTTTTATTGCTTACTCGATGTGTCAGTTGTTTGTGTATTCATGTAGTACATTAGTCAACAAGTGTTTAATAAACATCCAAACTGTTGTAGATTCTGTAATGTTTATTTCCTGATAAAGGATGAAGTACAATACGTAAAATAGTCTCACATGAAGTAATATCTCCCATCTGTTGAAGCACACGTGTCCTCAGTTTGACATGTGGCGAAGGTCTTTTCACAGCACTTTAAGTTAATCGCAAACACGTAAATGGACAGGTTCAACCAGTTTTAGGACAGTTTTTTAAATGGTTCGTAAATTAAGGACAATTAGTTACAAATTGTTCTCTCCGAAATGCGTGTGTCACTGGTTGTACACGAGTGACCAACGCTACTCACACTCGTATGCAACGCGTGTCACACGGGTCTCACGCTCGTGGCTCATGGGTTCGACATGAGTGACTAACGCGCCGCACACGGGTTGCGTCACGCGTTGCACACGCGTGTAAGGGGCATGAACTTTCAGGCAGTAGTATAAGTTTAAGTTTCTGTTAAATAGATGTCAGTTGAGCACATACTTACCTATGTCTTAGCTCTATGCATAAACCACCCATGATAAAACAAGAGTGGAAAGGGCAGTCGACATACAAGGAAAAATTCGTTCAGCTATGTGTTATGTTTCGAGGAAACATTGATTCTATTTAAACAAGCTTAAGCTAACACGATATCTGTCTTCTTACAAGAACAGCAAAGTGATGGACTGATCAAAAGACTGCTACTGCTTGCAAGTTAGAGGAAACACATCTTGCATATATCACAGATGAACAGAAATGATGTCATTATCTGTATATGCCATGTTGGCGACGCCATGTTTGATTGGAAAATTGCCATCACCATTTTCCTGTTTACGATCAGCCGCATAAGATGGAGTCATCTCAGGCATCTTTGATGCTTTGCCATTTACCTCTGGTGTTGCATCAACGTCGTATTTCTGAAAAGGTAAAGATTCAAATTACCTTTACATACCATTTTAATTAACCTCCCTAGTTTAGTTGAATACTAACTGAGTCAAAAAAAGAAACTTCACAAAATGTAATTTGAAAAATAATGAATAATTTTTCTCTGATGATACATCTATGTATCCGAAATGGGATCCCTATCTGTCGACTCTAGAAAAACGTTAGCAAAACCCACTCAAACCCATCCATTGGTCGTGCAAATGACGTTAGTGCCAAATCAGGTTTTGCACGTGCAGTCGATCACGTGATCTTCGCATCGAAGTTTTCTTCATATGCACGTGTTTGCATTGGCCTCAAGAATGGAAAAAAAACACTTTTAAACCACAGTTCTAACGGTACTTGAAATGCCACGATTGTCAAATGTGCAACGTGAACGTGCCGTTGGCATGTTGCAAGCGGGTAGATCAGTTACTGACGTCGCAAGAGCAATGGGATACAGCCGTCGTACTGTGTATGACTTGCGAGGTCGTCTACAACAAACTGGCACCACTTCTGATCGCCCAACGTCGGGTCGTCCACGTGTGACGTCACGAGCAGAAGACCGTCAAATCGTCGTATGTCACCTACGTGACAGATTTCTGCCGGCTACACGAACCAGGGCTGAGATGTTTAGAGGTCGACTGTCCTCACAGACCATTCGAAATCGGTTGCGGGCTGCCAATCTCCATTCTCGACGTCCATATCGTGGGCCAATATTGACACCGTTTCATCAACGTCAACGTCTGCTGTGGGCCCAACGTCACCTCCGATGGACCCAGAGAGACTGGAATCGAGTCGTCTTAAGCGATGAATCCAGGTTTACCCTCAGATTCGCGGACGGCAGGGATAGAGTCTGGAGACGACGTCGTGAACGGTATGCCCAATGTTGTGTACAGGAAGTCGACAGATTCGGGGGCGGAAGTTGCATGGTGTGGGGTGCTTTCTGTGGGAACAACCGTTCCCGACTTCTGGTCATCTGTGGAAACCTCACAGCTGCTGCTTACCGCGACCAGGTGCTCACCCCTGAACTCGTTCCTTTCATGGCGGCTCATGGCCCAGGTCTACAGTTCCAGCATGATAATGCTCGGCCGCATACCGCGATGTTGACACGAAATTTCCTTCTAAACGCTGGAATCAACGTCATGGACTGGCCATCGAGGTCCCCTGACATTAATCCAATAGAGCACGTTTGGGATGCACTTGGGAGAAGGCTTCGTGATCTTAGGAACCAACCTCAGAATTTGCAGGAACTTGGCGCTGCCTTGCAAGAGCAATGGCGCAGAATCCCCAACCACGTGTTCACAAGCATCAGGCAGTCTATGAGGAGACGGTGTTTGGCAGTGGTGAATGCGCGGGGCGGCCATACACGATATTGAACTGAGAAATTTCGCATTTTTATTCTTGTGACTTGACATTCTGTATACCCATGTTTTGGAACGGCGGTGTAGCCTAATGGAACTGATTATGGCACTGTCAGTGTATCGAGTACATCACACAGATCTCAGCAATGAAATAATAACAATTTTACCATCTTACCATCTCTTGTTCTTTTATAGTGCCCTGAAGAAAGAATGTGAAGTTTCTTTTTTGACTCAGTATAGTTGTATTTTTGGCTGGGGGCCAGCAGGCGCAATAATTTGGTTATGCTGAATATGAGTTCCATTTTGCATTTCTTTGTGATTTGTGTTTATATTTTATAATGTAAACGATGAATATGTTACGGCATTGAAGGCAGCGGCAGACTTTCTCAGGGACTCCGGAATTATGCATTGTGACAACAGCTGGATTTGTGTTTGTTGTTTGTTCCAGATATCTGACGGTGGTCTGTACATAATCGTGTCAAGACAAGACATTTGACTGATCAACGTCATGAAGATCGACTGACGCAATTGGGATAGGATGACATGTGTCAACCAAGTCAGCGAGCCTGACCACCCGATCACATTAGTCGCCTCTTACGACAAGCATGGTTTGCTGAAGACCATTTTCACCCGGATCTTTATTGGGATTATGAAGACAGTGTAGGTTGTAGACAAATATAAACATTTTGTTTATCCCATACATTCTCACAGTGGAGTGTATTGCCCCTAATACATTCCCACACACAATTTGAATATTGGAGTAACATCAACTATGTGGTTTATGGTCTATAATTGTACATATCATTATTTCAAAATGTCTTTTCACAATGACTGTAAAATAAGTATCTTTCAGCTGTGTCAGCTTCTCCACTGATTTCTATAAATTTTACCAATCAAAATACCAAATTCATAGTAAAATCCTATATAAGCATACCCCTTCGTGATTGACTCCGAATCTGAGAGGTCGGAGGATCATCTCTGGCAAACAGGGGAAGAGGCGGTCAAATAGAGGGCATATGAGACGTGGGTCCAGGCTTTTGGAGTCCGTTCTTCCTAAAAGAACAAAGTCATGCGTTTGCATTCTAATATCATGATCTTATGTATGCTTTTACTTGTTTTTAAATCAGTTGTTAGTATTACTACACATTAATGCAAAATGCACTTTGATCTCACATTTCCAGTCATAATGTTAAGTGGTATGGCCTTTTGAGTGTTGGAATTTAAATGTTCTGCTTCCTGTGTCTACCTCTTCGAATAATGATCGTATCTTGTTTGTGTACATGGATTTTGTCGGTCACAAGAGTGTCCAGACTATTATTTACAAATAAACCAACTTTGCATGACAGGCGTCACATGTATTTCCTGTTTAGACCCAAACACCTGCTTGGTTGTACTACCTGTGACTACCTCAATGACTGACATGATCTGCCTTCTGTTACCTCTTGGTTGGCTCAACTTGGTTGGCTTGTTGTTTAACGCCGCACTAAGGAATATTCCAGCTATATGGCGGCGGTCTGCGGATAATCGAGCATGCACCAGACAATCCAATGACCAACAGCATGAGCATCGATCTACGCAATTGGGATACGATGACATGTGTCAACCAAGTCAGCGAATCTGATCCCTCGATCCCGTTAGTTGCGTCTTATGACAAGCCCGGGCTGCTGAAAACCAATTCTTACGGAATTTCACGGGTCTAATTGGTCTGGAGCAGGTATACGAAGTACCTAGGACGTTTAAGGTAAATGCAGGAAATGCTTGCCAAAGTGTGAATCAAAGAGGTCATTCCAAAGTCAGCACTCAAAATGCAGAACTCCTCAAATTATAATCGGAATATGTTTTGGTATTTTCGATAATGGTATCAATTATTGAAGATCCTTTCACGTCGTATTGGAACGTATGTTTCTTTCTCAGTACAATCAGACGTACATCGTGCATTATGATAACATAAAGGCGGAGATGATATTTATTATTTGTGAACGAGGAAAGCATAAAGGCATTGACTTAACAAATGTCAATATCATCCTGCTCACTGTTAGTAGCATGAAACGATTAGAAAATCTAAATAATTTTGATATGATGATTACAAATCTCCACTTACGTTTAACTTTTTTAATGAATACTTTTGTGTATGAATTACAGTTTTGATGAACTATTACTGTCAATTGTTTCTTCAACATTGCGTTGGTCGATTGTGCCAACTGAGGCCATCATCGTAGGCCTTGACCAAACAACCGGGGATACTAGAAAAACAAGACGGGGTCATCCAGTTACCTGTGATGAAGCTGACGATAAGCCCGACAATCACCACTATTGCAACCGACGTCGCTGTGTAGTTCAGATACGACAACGTGTACAACGGATAGAAGGGGTCACTGTGGAAAACAATACTTCTTTGTTATTGTAACCGCCATACTTTGTACGATGGGCGGCAGAAGTAATTTAATTACCTGTACTTAACGATCTTCGTTGACATTGATCGTAACTCGTAGCTCGAAGCTCGTAATTTACACGGCTTTGAATCTTACTTCCATGTAGGATTAAATTGAAATTACATTTTGCTCATGATCTGATATAATGTTGAACTGGCGTGTTGGTTCTAATCACATAATAGTTACCCATGTGTATTTTCTACACCTTGTGCACCTCGCCTCCTAACCGCAGTAGAAATAATGACATGAAACTCTTCAGTATAGATATATCAAAGGATATTGTTTGTTGTTTCACGCCGCACTGAGAAATATTCCAGCAATATGGCGGCGGTCTGTTAATAATCGAGTCTGGACCAGACAATCCAATGCAAAGAAAGCTCTCGTCTAAAATATTTACTGCTGAACCTTTCTGAAATTTATTTAAGGGAATAAGCATTATATTTTTACAACTGATGCAGTCTCACCTTGACTTTGGCGTCGGGGGAAGTTCAACAGCTACAGTTGAGTTCATGGTGGACATTGTGGTAACGAGCGTCGTCATTGTCGTTGTTGTGATGTTCCAGTTGCAGCCTATAACAGACACGGCTGACGGAATGGCATTAAATGCTCTATTGACGAACGCCGCTATGCAGATCCATAACATGATCGCGAGAGAAGTCAGACATCCAACTATGGCACCCTACAATAGTGATGTAAGCAAGTCAACATAATGGTGTTATACTTGCATTTTTATAACACCTTATAGGTGCTGATATGATGTTACGGCAATATTGCCAGTGTACACGTTTCATTACGTATGATTTGAATTGTATTCTCATGTAATTTGACGCAAGCTTATACCACCCCTCATACTGAATCTCGGACACGGTGCCCAAGTTGAATAAAACACATTCCATCATTCCATGGATACATCTCCTACTTCTTTGGAGTGAGTGAGTGAGTGAGTGAGAGAGTGGATATAGTTTAACGCCGCATGAGCAATTTTGCAGCTATTCGCGGCGAGTGGAAGGAGTCTGCAACTTAGTTGTAATATTTCAAAATTTCATGTAGCCATGACATCATTTGAATCATTGGTGATTGGGTAGCTTCTAGCACCTTTATCGAGCAAAAGATGCTAAGAAATAGTGAGTGCTTTCTCACAAAATATTACAAGCTAAAGGGCTTTCCGTATGTTGAGAGTTTGATCAAGCAAAGTGTATTAACGGTAAAAAGTAACGTCGTATATACAGGTGAAAATGTTATATTTTCGTCAATAACAACATAATATACCCATGAAAAAAAGTATCGGAAGACCCCGTATTTTTCATATTTTTCATTAAATTAGCCTTAACAAAGGGTCTTATTCCTTATTTAAGTTACTATCTGGATAGAGGAATGGTCATAACGCTAAAGGTGGCTGTTTAGAATTGTATCGATTTCGTTAGTGCAGCAAGCAAATATTGTTGTCTTGCACTCAGGAATTGTCCGAGTAGTGACTGTGGCAGTATTGATTCCGATGAAACATCAGTGTCTTGATCACGTGGTGTCACACGTGGACGACCAGCCAGTGGCAAGTCATAAATGTTGGTCTTTTGTACACAACGTATCCAGAGAGAAAATATTTTTGCGATAAACGTTAAAATGTCTGACAACTTGGTCTTGCGCATTGCTTGTTTGCAGAACACCCACGGTGCCTAACGTTGATTTTCAACATGTGTTGCAGTCATCAATTTATAAACCACGAACCTTAACGCTGTGGAAATGTGGTCATGAATGCGCACTGTTTAAATTCAGAATACATCTATTATCAGTGAACGTTACATTGAACACAGTTACATTTTTTCCGTTGGTATCAGGACTTACCCAGGAGTTCGCCCACGGAAAGAACATTCCCAAAACAAAGATTCCGAACACAGGCCCTCCCAGCACGCTTGTTACAGCATACGTTGCCTGAATTGTAAATAAAACAATGACTTATATAAATGTTACTCGTATTAAGGAAGTCTACACGAAAATATTTATGCATAATTTTAATAGTATGACAATGTAAGTGGCACTTTTACAATCTTAAATCATGATACCCGTGAAGGTCCGGGTTAGAATGAACCTTCAGTAACCCATGCTTGTCGTAAGAGGCGACTGACGGGATCGGGTGGTCAGGCCGGTTGAGGACTTGGTTGACACATGTCATCGGTCCCCAATTGCACAGATCAATGCTCATGCTGTTGATCACTGGATTGTCTGGTCCAGACTCGATTATTTACAGACCGCCGCCATATAGCTGGAATATTGCTGAGTGCGGCGTAAAACTTAACTCACTCACTCACTCTTAAAGCATGAAGGATGTTTACGTTCAGAATATTTTACGTCATTAATGAACGGCACACATCATATGCAGCCTTTTGTGGGGAATTCATGGCAATGTAGCACCCTGTCAGTATTTCTACATAGTACATGACATTGTTACTCGTGTTCTCAAAAAAGAGAACATGGTCGTACACATACTAAGAGTTACATTACCTGAAGGACGCTCCCCAACTGAGCCACGCCATATGAACAAGCTATTGTCACACCACCCGTAACGAACACTGTAAAATACACGAATATTGCGTGTCACGCCGTTGTACATTAAAACAAATAGTATTATACACAGTAACACACACAGTATGCACCAACATATCTTTCAACTATCCTGCACAGTATTCTTCAACTATCCTCACAGTATCCTACACAATATCCTACATGGTTCTCTACACAGTATCCTACATGGTTCTCTACACAGTATCTTACAGGGTTCTCTACAAAGTACCCTACAGGGTTCTCTACACCGTATCTTACAGGGTTCTCTACACAGTATCTTACAGGGTTCTCAACACAGTATTTTACAGGGTTCTCTAAACAGTACCCTACAGGGTTCTCTACACAGTATCCTACAGCGTTCTCTACGCAGTATCCTACAGGGTTCTCTACGCAGTATCCTACAGGCCTACAGGGTTCTCTACACAGTATCCTACAGCGTTCTCTACGCAGTATCCTACAGGGTTCTCTACGCAGTATCCTACAGGCCTACAGGGTTCTCTACACCGTATCCTACAGCGTTCTCTACACAATATCCTACAGCGTTCTCTACACAGTATCCTACAGGGTTCTCTACACAGTATCCTACAGGGTTCTCTACGCAGTATCCTACAGGCCTACAGGGTTCTCTACGCAGTATCCTACAGAGTATTCTACACAGTATCGTAAACAGTATCAGTATCATGCACAGTATTTTACTCAGTATCCTATATAAGGTATCAACACAGAACATGCACTTACCCGTGACCTTGGAGAGAATGGTCATACTCCTGTCAGACAGTTTCTTACAGCAAAACGGTTGGATCAGATCATGTGGTATGACGGCGCCCATAGCGTTCAGGGTGGATGATAAGTGCTGTAACACATTTCAATACGAGTACTCTATAGGGACATGTTTTACACGAAACGCTGCCTAGTCGAACTCAACACCAAGATCTTTTCGGCCCAGCACTGGCTTCTGCATGACATAGGGTGGCACAAGGGTATGACTCCGGAAGCAAACCCCGGTACTCTCACAAAGACTGTCAACAGTTTGGGAGGTGCAAAACATAAGGCATTGAGGACTATGTTACGTTTGTATATTAGCCATGCCTTCTTACGAATGTTGTCAGTCACATTGTGTCAAAAGGGACAGATGATTCAAACACGTAAATGATTTATCAAAATGACAAAGTCAGGTATTTTGTTTGTTGTTATTAGTAGTGTTATTATCTCGGTTTTCGGCATTGTGAGCACTCTAATTTCATCCCCAGTTACACGTGGAGTACAAGGAGGTTAACCAAGGCGGTTAACAGTAAGACAACCCGATCCGAACAGCTAGTTTAACAATCATGTAACGTGAAATACTTAGCATACATGTTACTGTTCCCAACAGTAATCTTCAAGAAGGCTGGTATCATGAATTAACGGGGTACGGCTCTGTGTGGCTATTTCGCACACTTGTTCGGAATAACGCTTTACCTCAGACTTCCGCTGAAGATGCATGAGACAAAGACTCCGGGCAATCCTTGGAACTGGCTCAAAATGTCCATGACAAACAGAGGCAGCAGCTGCAACATAGGACGTGAAAAACGCTGATCTCAACGGCACCATATGCCGCTCGCGCATTGCTCACTGCGGCGTTAATCAACATTCACTCACGTTATATTTAATGGAAATCTGTTGAATAGAATCTTCTTAAAATATTTCATGCGAAGTCCACATTTCATGCAAATTCATACAAAGTACATATTTACAGCCATGTGTGATTTCATTGGTATCTAAAGAACTACCAAACATCTACCCTGAAAACCATTTTGATAGTGGTCAAGTGTTACACTCAACTTTGTCAGTGTTATCATTAAATGGTAATACTATGGAGAATGCTACTGTATTTCTTTACCTTTGATTGTTTCTAATATTGCCTCTACATTTTTGGCATGTTCAAGATACTTGATGAAACATGTTTTATATGCTTTGTATATTATTTAATCTCAGGTTTATAGTTAACTGTATTTCACCATTGAATCCGTTACAGTTCACTTTAATACTTTGGTGGATACGAGGGACAGTCAAAAAGTAGTGAGCCTGACCTAGTAAATGATACAAATGCAACTGTTTTTATGTTCTATTTTTCTACATATTATCCGTCAACCTCAAGCAAATTGGTTTTGCTACGTTCCAGCCTTACGATCCCCATTTTGTTTGAAATTTTATCTTGGTACCCCCCAAAAGCGCAAAATCTGCAATAAATGCACCACAAACTTCAGGTAACAAAATATGCAAGAAACATTTTGTGTGTTTGAGATAGGTAGACGTCCGCTAGAATCAAACTTAGATATTAAAGTGGATGAAAAAAGCAATTTGAAAGTACAATCGCTTGTTAAAGTGATTCCCCTTTCATGTTTACTGAAACATCTTGTTTTGGAGACACTACCCACCCCCGTTCAGACGACGAATTCATAAGGACATAACTTATTCTAATGTTTTTACTTTTTCACACATGATGCTAAAGGTTCAAAGTAAATACTGAATGGTCACACAAGTGTCAACTCTCAGTATATTGTAAACAGGGCCAGCTTGAATATCTGGACACAATGTTTTTGAAAGACTAAAATGGGTGTGTCCTTAAAAAACAGCCCTGTCTAAACATAAATCAAGCAATCCAAATCTTTGAATGTTGATTATGACGGGAAGTCATCCAATACTATACTAACATATTTTATATGACATTATCTGAGGGCATACCATTATCCAAGAGGTACTAAATGACGGATCGTTTTTCATTTTCTGCATTTTTTCTAGAAATATTATACCCGAATGTGTTGTGATGACTAATATCTCGTTAATCACATTACCCATTACCCACATGTATGTGAAATTATATGACTTTGCTAATGATTCCTACAAACTAAAATGGAAGCTTTTCAAACATTGGACATTGAGAATATAGTTAGGCTACGTACTTTTTGACCGAACCTCGTAGTTGTGTAACTCTACGTAATCTGTTGTGAAGATGTGATTGTTGATTTACAAGGTATAGAAGGACTTACCTGATCTGTGCTGAAGATGAGGTTGTTGAATTTCATCAGTACAAGGCATGCGTAAGTCACACTTATGATCTGTGCTGAAGATAAGGTTGTTGAATTTTCATCAGATTACATCTGTGCTGAAGATAAGGTTGTTGAATTTCATCAGATTACAGTACAGGGTGTACGTAAGTCACACTTACCTGATCTGTGCTGAAGATGAGGTTGTTGAATTGTAACGGGTGACAGTCGGCGTAGAAGGCGAACATGACGATGCCGATCATGCAGCAAAGGCTGACGATGAAGATAAGTCCTGGCAGGTTTATCAACATTGCCCTGTGAATAGGAGTGGAAATGAAAACTGTCCTGTTGATTTAGTGAATTGAATTGAACAAATATGCTTTTTTGTGACGTAATGGCATTGACTTTACAAATACTGTTCTGTCGTCTTCTTATGGTATCAATACCCACCTATCATATTCTATATGGAGGGTGTTATATTGTCTAATTTTGAAAGTATCTTTACAAAACACAGTCTCTTTTTGTGGCTAGTATAGTTAGGTCCCGAGGAGGAATCCTGATTTTGTCGAAACATTATGGTTTCGTGCGTGTGTGATCATTGGTTACTCAGCATTGACCCTGTGTTCGTGGGTATGCATCACTTCGCCACATAGCCGACTTGAACATCATTTCAGTCATACCATGGCATGACATCTTGATGCAACAGATCTAATTCTGTCAATGCAACTCAATCAATCAATCAATCAATCAATCTTTATTCATACTGAGGGCCACAGGCCCATAGTATACAAGAACATAGTACACAATATCATCGAGAAGAATAAAAATAGTCAAATCACAATATGTCATATCGCATCAAAATGTATCACATCATATAACATCGCATTACACATACTTTGTCGTATCACATCATATCATAACACCCCATATTACATCATGTCATATCATACCATGTATCATATCATATCATATCATTTCATATCTTATCATATTGCACCACATCATACCATATCGTAACAAATAACAATATGAGTACATACATTCTATGAATTATTATGTTTATTTCTTAGAGACAATGCTTGATAGATAAAGGTTGACAACTTACGGATAAGAACATTGTCATCAGTACTCATTAACAAAGAAAATTTCACCCTATCGGGATATACAGAATAATATCTTGAGACATTTTCTTTTCTTAACTCACAATATAATGGGCAAACTAAGAGGAAGTGATATTCATCTTCTACACAATTAAGATCACAAAATGTACAAATTCTAATTTCCCTCTCTATTTTATGATATCTCCCTGTTTCGATTGCCAAGTCATGTGAGGAACACCTAAACCGAGCAAAAGCCTTTCGAAATTTCTTGATATTTAGTGAGAGCAGAAAATTCTCTCTGTATATATGGGATTTAAACATTCTATAATAGAAACATTTACTTGACAAAGACAGTACTCCTACCCATTCTTGTGTATATATATCTTTGAGCCTTTGAGTAACATTATTCACAAAATTTGTATGAAAGTCAACATTTTGCCTTTGCCATACCTCCCCAAAACCTATTGTATTTAACAATTCTCGAATGTTAGTCACCCAGTTAGTCTTCCCGTTGTTATCGTACATTAACATCATATCATATCACTGTCTAGGGTATCTATCAGATGGCATATATAACAGACGTATCCAATATTTTATTATTCTAGCTTTAGCAAAAATGTGTATGGGAAATCTTCCACAATCTCCATATACCATGGCATTAGGTGTACTTACTTCACTCCTAAACATTTCTTGCAAGTATATAAATGTATTTTCTCAATTACGTCAAAATTATTGAAACCCCATACCTCTGAACCATACAATAGAATAGGAAGGATTTTTGTATCAAATATTTTGAAAAAAGAATGATAATCAATATCTACGAGTTTGTGAATACTTTTGAGAACCCCAATAAGTACCTTTTTGGCTAGTGTGGAACAATATTTAGCATGTGCTGAAAAGCCAAGACGATTAGTGAAGCAGACTCCAAGGTATTTATATGATTGTGTGACTTGGAGCGGCTCTCCTTTATAATACCATTTTTCCGTTTTAGATAGTTTGCCCCCATTTTTGAATACGACTATTCTAGTTTTCTGCAACTCATTCGCTCTGTCGCTTATTAAACCTAAAAGAAAATTTCTCACAGTTGTGCCTTCCTTGGGGTCGGACAGGAGAGTGCTCTCTGGATTTGGGCCTGGGTCGTGCCATAGAGACTCAGCCAGAGAAATCCTCCACCAAACACTATAGACCAGAAGGAATGTCGAGTTGTAGGGTCGGGGTCAAAGCTGGAGAGATATCAGTTGTATGACTTGTCAGAAGTAATTTTCTAATTTCATAATGCACGTACAGCCCGATCTCTCCTTAGTTCCATCTTTGTTTGTTTGCTGTTTAACGCCGCACTCAACAACTTTCCAGCTACATGTATTTGGGGCACTCTGTTAATAGTACATAGTTTTGTATTATTTTGATACAAGTTTCTTATCTGCTTTGTCTCGTCATGTTCATGGTGGCTTGAATACATTTCCACACAACAAAGCAAACAGGCGACGTGAGAGTGTTTATAATCAGCCTGGTTGTGTCATGCTTCGCCCAGCTTGCTGATCGCCGCCAAAACATCTTATGAATGCTTTGTTGCATTAAAGAAACGTTGACAATCTTTTCACAGTGTGGATGAGCAATATCGTCTTGAAAATTGCACACACACACACACACACACACACACACACACACACACACACACACACACACACACACACACACACACACACACACACACACACACACACACACACACACACACAACACACAAACAAAACAAACAAAACAAAAACAAACAACAAAACAAACACAACAAAAACAAAAAACAAAACAAAACAAAACAAAACAAAACACACACACACTTGCACATACACACGCACGCACGTATGCACGCACACACACACACACACACACACACATCAGCACTTACTCACTCACTTACTCACTCACTTCAAGAAAAAGGAGATGTATCCATGGTATGATTGTGTTTAATACAACTTAGTCACCGTGTCCGAGATTCAATATGAGGGTGGTATAATCGTGTGTTAATATTTAGGATTATAATAGGATGTAAATGATTCTGATAGTAAACTTGCTCATGAAAGTTGATCCTAGACCGGTTAGCAGCAATTTCCCAAGCGTTACTGAAGCCGCCCATGAGCATGGAACCTTGGATGAGCACTGCCAGCAAGCCTGCAAGGATCACAACCGCTTGGAAACTGTCAGTCCACAACACAGCCTTCATGCCACCCTGGAGAACAATACCAGTCATCAGTAACCAATAAAAGGGGATGTTTAAATGTTGTGGTGTAGATAACGTGTTTCATTAGTAGACCAGGATAATGAAAGATGGGTAATTGTAATTGATAGGTAACATGGTTAACTGTTAGTTTTGTTTGCTTTTTGGCTTGCAGGTTGTTAACGCCGCACTCAGCTCAGCAATTTTCCAGCTATACGACGGCTTCTGTAAATAATCGAGTCTATACCAGACAATCCAGTGACTGACATGATGAGCATCAATCTACGCAATTGGATACGATGACATTCACCAATCACTGATCCTGTTAAACGTAACTGAACATTTCAAGCATGGGTAGTAGTATAACCACTTATACTAGACAATTGTCAATGCCAAGTCGTTTCTGCGCGCTCTAAATACCTCACTCGGTGGTATTTATAGGAGATAAGTACTTGAACTATACTGTTGAAATATGTTAAAATACGCTATTTCAAATTATGACTTTACCTCATTCAAGGTCTTCGGGAATATTGCATAACCTTTCGTGCTTGGCATGTTGAGGTCCGGACACCCAAGACAACTAGACCAGTCATTAATAATTATAACGCTGTTTGCATAACAATGAAAGACCAGTGTTACGTGTGAGCCAATGCTACCAGGCTGGTTGGTGGCTGTACAAGAATATATTTCTCCTGGACAAGAAAGATATTACTGTTAACTTGAACTACTTACCAATGCTGTGTAAATGGTAGCTATAGCAGCTATAGCAGCGACCGAACCCCAAATGTTAAGTCCTGTCACTGTAAGGAATACAAAAAGAAACACAATGCACTTTTGTATGAATATTTTACGGGTTTACACTATAATGGGGATTGGTGATTTTAGAAAAGCTTTGGAAAGTATTGCAAAGAATACGGATACAGGAGAAAAGCTTTTTAATGATATAAACATGTAACTTGAACTAAAGACATGGTGTCGATGTTGAAACAGTGGCAGGTGTTGCCTGTTTTCTTTTTAAGTGTAAGTTTTGGTTATGGCAGGTACGTGTCTGAGTGGAAACAATAGCATGCTGAGAAACATGAGTAGCAATAAGTGTTGGTTACAGCAACATGCACCATTACACCCGTGTGCTTTCGTGTATAGATATAAAATATATTAGGCATATTATAATTGTCGGATAACCACCAATGACAATACCCAACACACGATAATAATGTTTATCCTATATGATAATTATATATGTTTCGGGTAATTCTACATGAAAATACGAGCAAGCTTGCAGATGCATATTCTTGGCTTACCTGCATTGAATGCAAGGCTAGGGGCGTACAATACAAACGACACGTATATTATCTGAAATGGAAAAAAACATGTTCACATTTGACTCGCTCTGAATGGGATATTGCCTGACTGTAGCTGGCTTAGACGTCTATAGCGCCACCTTGTCCATATAAAACTTGCCTAATATAATACACTATGAAAACACATACATACATACATACACGCACGCACGCACGCAGGCACACACACGCATACATACATACATACATACATACATACATACATACATACATACATACATACATACATACATACATACATACATACATACATACATACATACATACATACATACATACATACATACATACATACATACATACATACATACATACATACATACATACATACATACATACGACATATGTAAATGAGTATTTAGAACTCACAGTTGGGAAGATGAAGAGTATCACCGCCATTGTCCGAACAATTTTGTTGAACCTCATTTCCAGATACTGAAATACACATCAATAGATCAAATATATATTTTTATTTTATGTATTAATAACCAACTCATTTTTTACGGTGTGCGGATCATCAGTAGTTAGAATGATTTGAAAGGATTTTGAAGGTATCGTGAACGTAATGCACAGTGATTGTCCATGGTTTCGATTGTTCCTTTCTTTATTGGTATGCACGTGTGTGCGTATCTGCATGCATGTGTAGGTCATTAATGTCATGTTAAAATATGTTGAACAACAATTTGTATACCCTTGAAACTGACAATTTGTTATTAACGATATGTTAAAACATTTTGAAACCTCAGTTGGTATACACTTGTAACTGACAATGTGTTATTAACGTCATGTTGAAACATGCTGAAACCTCAACCCTGTAACTGACAATTTGTCATTGACGGTATGTTGAAACCTCAATCCCCTAAGGGACTAGAATCTGTACATGGAAATTTATAAATATTGGTATGCTGAAACTTTGCCTGGAATTGACTTTTGATACAGATATTTATCAATGTAAGTATGCTGAAACAAAACCAGATAGGCAATTGTCTAGTATTAGTACGTAATGTAATCACCAAGAATACACGTATGCCATTAAGGCAACTTCTTAACATTAATATGTTGAAACAGTATGTAAACAGTATGATGAAATATTACCTGGAAGACACTTGTTATCCCCAGTTTGTAGAAGAATGGGACAAATAGTACGACTGAGAGCACAATCGCGAATACAAATGACAAACACAGATACCAAAACATTGTCGTGTATCTGTACATCTCGGCCGGCGTTCCCAGAAGCGTAATGGCAGATAGAAATGTCACCAGCAGTGACAAGGCGACAGGTATTACTGACATCTGCCGTCCCCCCAAACAGGTACTCCTTGGAGCTTAGTTTCTTGCGGTCTATGATGGCGTACACCAGTCCAATACTTGCAGATATGAATAATGTCAGGCCGAATAGGACATAGTCAACGACAGAAAACGTCTTCGTTTTGCCGGTGAAGATGCTGTAGTCTTCCATGGTGTTGAGACGCCGTACCAGGCGAGAACGTGTCTACCGAAGCAATCGGATATTAACCCAGGTTTAGGCGCCCTAGTTATAGCGTCAACTGTGAAAGCGGAACGCTCAGTGTGTGATCCCAGACTATGAGGCTGTGCTAGATCACCGCAGGGGCAATATTTATTTATATGTATGTAATGATAGACGTATACCTTTCTGCTTTGGAGCTGCACTAACCCGTTTGGCGAGTGTATTACCTGTACAAAAGTGTTTGTTGAAACTATTCAAGCTGTTGATGGTTATTTAACAGCGTTATTTCTAGCTATTGCCAATCAACCTAATTAACTGAATGTATTATTGTAGCGGTTATAGCCCGGGAAAGCCACATTTAAGAAAAACAGAGCTGAAAATTGTGTGGCTCAACCGGCAATGGGAATGGTTGAGCGATCGTGTGAATGTGGCTCTCCCGGCAATGCGCTATTAGCTAATCCATGTTACCGTAAATAATGTGAACTATTCATTATGTAAAATTTAGAAATCCAGTTGAATTGTTCGTGGAGAAAAGTCCAGATCACGCAAACTAGCTGCCTCACGTAGATAGTCAAACACCTTTTACGAATTATTTATGTCAAATAATGACTATGAAACCAATTATTTCTTTGAAGTAATTTAAATTATGGGAGGGTCAATTCAATGTTTTATCTTTTTCTGATAACTGTTTGAGATAAGAGCTATTGTTGCCTTAGTTATTATGTTTACATTCATGCTAAAAACTCAACAAAACAAAAAACAATGTAGAAGAATGACCATTTATTGCGCAAATATACTTAATCAGCCAAATATGTGACGCCTAACTCCTTCCATTTCATAGCTGTTTTTAAGCAAAATTTATGACTACATTTATGGTCATTATGTAAACATGCTTGTAGATGTAATGTCATTATATTTACATGCTTGTAGGTGTAATGTCATTATGCTTACACGCTTGTAGATGTAATGATCATAATATTTATATGGCTTTAGATGTAATGGTCATTATGTTTACATGCTTGTAGATGTAATGATCATAATATTGATATGGCTGTTGATGTAATGGCCATTATGTTTACATGCTTGTAGATGTAATGATCATTATATTTATATGGCTGTTGATGAATGGCCATTATGTTTACATGCTTGTAGATGTAATGATCATTATATTTATATGGGTGTAGATGTAATGGTCATTATGTTTACATGCTTGTAGATGTAATAGTCATTATGTTTATAGGGCTGTTGATGTAATGATCACTATATCTATATGGCTGTTGATGTAATGGTCATTATATTTATATGGCTGTTGATGTAATGATCATTATATTTATATGGCTGTTGATGTAATGATCATTATATTTATAGGGCTGTTGATGTAATGTAATGTCATTATATTTATAGGGCTGTTGATGTAATGGTCATTATGTTTACATGCTTGTAGATGTAATGATCATTATATTTACATGGCTGTTGATATAATGGTCATTATGTTTACATGCTTGTAGATGTAATGATCGTTATATGTATATGGCTGTTGATGTGATGGTCATAGTGTTTATAGGGCTGTTGATGTAATGTTCATTATATTTTTAGGGCTGTTGATGTAATGGTCATTATATTTGTATGGCTGTTGATGTAATGATCATTATATTTATAGGACTGTTGATGTAATGGTCATTAAGTTTACATGCTTGTAGGTGTAATGTCATTATGTTCACATGCTTGTAGATGTAATGTCATTATGCATACATGCTTGTAGATGTAATGATCATTATATTTATATGGCTGTAGATGTAATAGTCATTATGTTTACAGGCTTGTAGATGTAATGTCATTTGTTTACATGATTGTAGATGTAATGGTCATTATGTTTACATGCTTGTAGGTGTAATGTCATTATGCTTACATGCTTGTAGATGTAATGACGATTATATTTATATGGCTGTTGATGTAATGATCATTATATTTATAGGGCTGTTGATGTAATGTCATTATATTTATAGGGCTGTTGATGTAATGGTCATTATGTTTACATGCTTGTAGATGTAATGATCATTATATTTACATGGCTGTTGATATAATGGTCATTATGTTTACATGCTTGTAGATGTAATGATCGTTATATGAATATGGCTGTTGATGTGATGGTCATAGTGTTTATAGGGCTGTTGATGTAATGTTCATTATATTTTTAGGGCTGTTGATGTAATGGTCATTATATTTGTATGGCTGTTGATGTAATGATCATTATATTTATAGGGCTGTTGATGTAATGGTCATTATATTTATAGGACTGTTGATGTAATGGTCATTATGTTTACATGCTTGTAGGTGTAATGTCATTATGTTCACATGCTTGTAGATGTAATGACGATTATATTTATATGGCTGTAGATGTAATGTCATTATGTTTACATGCTTGTAGATGTAATGTCATTATGCATACATGCTTGTAGATGTAATGATCATTATATTTATATGGCTGTAGATGTAATGGTCATTATGTTTACATGCTTGTAGGTGTAATGTCATTATGCTTACATGCTTGTAGATGTAATGACGATTATATTTATATGGCTGTAGATGTAATGTCATTATGTTTACATGCTTGTAGGTGTAATGTCATTATGTTCACATGCTTGTAGATGTAATGACGATTATATTTATATGGCTGTAGATGTAATGTCATTATGTTTACATGCTTGTAGATGTAATGTCATTATGCATACATGCTTGTAGATGTAATGATCATTATATTTATATGGCTGTAGATGTAATGGTCATTATGTTTACATGCTTGTAGGTGTAATGTCATTATGCTTACATGCTTGTAGATGTAATGACGATTATATTTATATGGCTGTAGATGTAATGTCATTATGTTTACATGCTTGTAGGTGTAATTTCTTTGAAGTAATTTAAATTATGGGAGGGTCAATTCAATGTTTTATCTTTTTCTGATAACTGTTTGAGATAAGAGCTATTGTTGCCTTAGTTATTATGTTTACATTCATGCTAAAAACTCAACAAAACAAAAAACAATGTAGAAGAATGACCATTTATTGCGCAAATATACTTAATCAGCCAAATATGTGACGCCTAACTCCTTCCATTTCATAGCTGTTTTTAAGCAAAATTTATGACTACATTTATGGTCATTATGTAAACATGCTTGTAGATGTAATGTCATTATATTTACATGCTTGTAGGTGTAATGTCATTATGCTTACACGCTTGTAGATGTAATGATCATAATATTTATATGGCTTTAGATGTAATGGTCATTATGTTTACATGCTTGTAGATGTAATGATCATAATATTGATATGGCTGTTGATGTAATGGCCATTATGTTTACATGCTTGTAGATGTAATGATCATTATATTTATATGGCTGTTGATGAATGGCCATTATGTTTACATGCTTGTAGATGTAATGATCATTATATTTATATGGGTGTAGATGTAATGGTCATTATGTTTACATGCTTGTAGATGTAATAGTCATTATGTTTATAGGGCTGTTGATGTAATGATCACTATATCTATATGGCTGTTGATGTAATGGTCATTATATTTATATGGCTGTTGATGTAATGATCATTATATTTATATGGCTGTTGATGTAATGATCATTATATTTATAGGGCTGTTGATGTAATGTCATTATATTTATAGGGCTGTTGATGTAATGGTCATTATGTTTACATGCTTGTAGATGTAATGATCATTATATTTACATGGCTGTTGATATAATGGTCATTATGTTTACATGCTTGTAGATGTAATGATCGTTATATGTATATGGCTGTTGATGTGATGGTCATAGTGTTTATAGGGCTGTTGATGTAATGTTCATTATATTTTTAGGGCTGTTGATGTAATGGTCATTATATTTGTATGGCTGTTGATGTAATGATCATTATATTTATAGGACTGTTGATGTAATGGTCATTAAGTTTACATGCTTGTAGGTGTAATGTCATTATGTTCACATGCTTGTAGATGTAATGTCATTATGCATACATGCTTGTAGATGTAATGATCATTATATTTATATGGCTGTAGATGTAATGGTCATTATGTTTACAGGCTTGTAGATGTAATGTCATTTTGTTTACATGATTGTAGATGTAATGGTCATTATGTTTACATGCTTGTAGGTGTAATGTCATTATGCTTACATGCTTGTAGATGTAATGACGATTATATTTATATGGCTGTTGATGTAATGATCATTATATTTATAGGGCTGTTGATGTAATGTCATTATATTTATAGGGCTGTTGATGTAATGGTCATTATGTTTACATGCTTGTAGATGTAATGATCATTATATTTACATGGCTGTTGATATAATGGTCATTATGTTTACATGCTTGTAGATGTAATGATCGTTATATGAATATGGCTGTTGATGTGATGGTCATAGTGTTTATAGGGCTGTTGATGTAATGTTCATTATATTTTAGGGCTGTTGATGTAATGGTCATTATATTTGTATGGCTGTTGATGTAATGATCATTATATTTATAGGGCTGTTGATGTAATGGTCATTATATTTATAGGACTGTTGATGTAATGGTCATTATGTTTACATGCTTGTAGGTGTAATGTCATTATGTTCACATGCTTGTAGATGTAATGACGATTATATTTATATGGCTGTAGATGTAATGTCATTATGTTTACATGCTTGTAGATGTAATGTCATTATGCATACATGCTTGTAGATGTAATGATCATTATATTTATATGGCTGTAGATGTAATGGTCATTATGTTTACATGCTTGTAGGTGTAATGTCATTATGCTTACATGCTTGTAGATGTAATGACGATTATATTTATATGGCTGTAGATGTAATGTCATTATGTTTACATGCTTGTAGGTGTAATGTCATTATGTTCACATGCTTGTAGATGTAATGACGATTATATTTATATGGCTGTAGATGTAATGTCATTATGTTTACATGCTTGTAGATGTAATGTCATTATGCATACATGCTTGTAGATGTAATGATC